AGAGGTCATCATAAGATGTTACAATGGGTTCTTCTCATTGCAGTCGAAGTGGGCGATCGTAGCCGATTACGTTATGGGTTCAGTGTAGTCGGTGTACCAATGCAGTTTCTGAAGCGAGACTGCCTACTTTAATGATGAACTAAACTTGGCGAGGGAGATGAAGAGACTGAATGAGCTCGTTCTAGTAAGATCCAACACAGAACACGCGGGCCGTGAAAACAAATTGTCATGGTGCGCATGAACAGGAAGGGCGCACAGCACGGGAAGGAGAAGCGGGAAGGGGCAAAAAAAGAAAAAGACAAAAAAGAAACAGCTGGAGCTGCGGGGAATCGAACCCCGGACCTCTCCCATGCTAAGGGAATATTATACCACTAAACCACAGCCCCTTTGCTGTTGAAAACCTGCTTGTTATTTTGTATTATGAGCAAAGACATAAGCTATCAGAGTTGTTGGGCCATAACCATTCCTTGTATGATTACAAATTGTGCCAGTTATAATAACTACCTATTAAGTCGTCTACGGTGTAAGCAGGGTGGACTTGAGGGATGAAGACTTGGAGTTTACGAATAATGCCGGTCTATCTCCTGGTGATGTTTTCGATGGTTTTTTTATTTCTAAGCAGCAGCAGGATGGCACATTGTGGCTTCGACTCAGGTGGATTTGGCAAAGACGGAGCTCCCTTGCCTATGGTCTAGCACTCCCAAGAATATAAAGTCATGTAGAATCCCCGTAGACCCAGACAGAGGTTCTATCGCAATCTTAGTGAATTCAACTTCTAATTTGATCAACTCGCCACATCTTCAAGTATCCACCATGCCCATCTTCGACGCAACAGCCACCAGCGAACAGGTCATCGAAGCCTTCGAGTCCAACATCAAGGGCAAGACCTTCGTCATAACCGGTACCGGTCAGCCCAGCATCGGCAGCCAGATAGCCACTTCCCTAGCCAAGGCCGCGCCAGCACATATCCTCATTGCCTCGCGCACCCTAAGCAAAGTCCAACCCGTGCTCGATGAGATCCACGCCATCACCAGCACCATCAAGACCACAGCAGTACAGGTGGACCTAAGCGACCATGACTCCGTTCGTCACGCTGCAGATAAGTTCCTCGCCGCGGCACCCAAGCTTGATGTCCTGATCAACAGCGCCGGGGTGATGGCAATCAAGGAATACACCCTCGACAAGCAGGGGATAGAGCTACAGCTCTCAGCCAACCACGTCGGCCACTTCTTACTTACCAACTTGCTCGTGCCAGCCCTCGAGGCTGCTAGCTCCGCCCGTGTGGTTAATCTGACCAGCTCTGGGTACCTTATCTCGCCGTTCCGCTTCGAAGACTGGAACTATTCCAACGGAAAAGAATACGACCCATGGACCGGCTACGGTCAAGCAAAGACAGCGAACATCCTATTCACCTACGGCTTGACCCAGCGACTACGACATAAGGGAATTGCTGCTATCGCTGTTCACCCAGGCTACAACGGAGATACTATGCTGGGTAGTCACCTCACTTGGGACGATTATTCTGGGATCTCTGCAGTCGCCAAACGGAATACCGGCAAGGAGTTTGTTTTCGAGGAGCCGCGGTTCAAGACGTATACTCAGATCGCGGCGACGCCGTTGATTGCGGCGCTGGATCCGGACTTGCAGGCTCTGGCGCCGGTGTTTATGCAGAATAGTGTAGTTAGTGAGGCTGCGGTGCATGCGATGGATCCGGGGAGTGTGGATGCTTTGTGGAGTTTGAGTGAGGAGCTTGTTGGGGAGGAGTTTCGGTATTAGCTTCTTAGATATTTGGATGGGGGAGGTACCTTTCTGGTGGGGTTCATCCACTCTAGGAATTGACAGAGGATGCATGGACACTATCGTCTTCAGTTCTTATGTGAGACGTTTGGAATGCGTTGTCTGGCACCCAAGTAAACTACTTTTGGGGAGCACTCTGGCATATCTGACTGTATCCTGGAGGTAAATACAAAGCCGGTCATTGCATATATCATTCTGTTTTTGTATCTCCTCACTCGTATAGTTCTACCGATCATTATTACTTCCATTGAAGTGCATCAAGTTGAAGTCCAGGTAGTGTGCCGTCTGTGGTATATTAGTCCCTCATCCCCTGCTTCCTGTAGTCAACCTGCCATACTGTATTCAAGCTCTTGGTAAGAGCTTCTGCGCGTTCCCAAAATATACCATATCCCGAAGCTCCTCGTTCATATGGAACGCATCTAGGTTCTCCCGGTATCCAGCTACTTTTATTGGGGGAGCGTTGGGATAATCGGACCCTATTACTCTTTTTAGCATCTAGTGTTACATGCCAGCCACGGAAATACTCACCATACATAATATGATCATGCGGTATTAAGTCCAGCAAGAGGTTCAGGACAGCCGGAGCACTCGAAAGAGCGAGGTCGTAATAAAACCCACGCAATGCCTCCATAAACTCGAAGTAAGTCTTTCCATAGGGACCTTTTTGGGCCATCGTATCCCGAGAAGTTACAGCCAGCCGCGAGATCAGATACGGCAGCGTCCCACCCGCATGCGATAGAATCTTCGGACAGTTCGGGAACTGCTGTGTGACGTTGTTAACAATCATATCGACAGCAGTCCGTGTAGTCTCCTGTGGGAAGTCAAGCATCGGAGGCGGCATAATCGGATCAATCCAATTACTGTCTTCAGGCATAGTAGGATGGATATGGACCACGATTTTGCGATCATCCAGTTCTTTCCAAATGGGAGTGAACTGAGAATGGCCTAGATAGTTGTTTCCATTGCCGTAGCGGGTGAACACGGTGACCCCGTCGGCTTTGAGGGTGTCGATGGAGTACTCGATTTCAGCCAGGGTACCAGGTACATCCAGAAGAGAAGGCAACGCGGCGAAGAATCCGAACCGTTCGGGGTACTGGTCGCGCAGGCTAGCAGCATATTCATTGACTCTTCGGGCCAGCGACCGAGCTGTGTCGTTGTTGCCAGTAATGACTGCACCTGGGGTGGTTAACGAAAGGATGGCTTTTCGGACACCATTATCCTGCATGTCTTGAAGAGAGTCCTCGACGGTCCATGCGGGGACTGGCAAGCCTGTTGGGTCGCCGCCTGCATCTTCAACGGCTGGATGTGCGTCACCATAATTAGTGCGGGGTCTTCAGTCCAGAGAAAGTATGCCCACGTACCCTGACGAAAGAAATCGGGGACAAAGTGATGGTGGATATCAATCTTCTGCGGTAGCTGCTGGGCCAGGACTGCGCTGTCATTGTCCATGGTGGTCGGATATCCCGAACCTATGCCACCGGTAGACATACCCAGGAAGCTTGCAATGCCGGTAGGTAGGTAGGAAGGTAGATGCATTATAATCACGGCTAAGAGTCATCGACTCTCAGTTGCTAATCCAGGTGACTTCGTGACTTTGGTGCCGCTTGGGCTGTTGTTTGTTGCGCAGCTGTACCCGATCCCTTGCATAACTGCCAACTACGGATCCCGCGGACTATTCTCATTGTGTCTCCCTTTTTAGCTGGCATGACAGGTGACATTTATTGTATTTTTCTGTGTCATAACTACACTGGCCGCAGTTTCTTGTCGTCGAGTTAGTGTTTATTTGATGATTCCGTGGTGCTAGTCAAACCCAGCAAAAATGAAACCTTCCGAGTTATGCAGGGAATATATATAATCACTGCTAGAAGAGTCGATGTAGAAGCAGTTATTGAATGACAAGGCTAAAATCAAGTTATTGTCATCAACTAATTTCAGAATTACAAAAAGAATGCTAGACTTGATCTAATAGCAAAGATAATGACCTTTTCACTGGCAGTATAGCTCGTGGTGGGCTATGGTGGCCATTCACCAGCAACAATTGTAACGATGGGTGTGAAGTGAGAGGTTGAAATGTAGCATTGCTTCATAGAGTAAAAATTGCAGGCGTTCTTCAACAAAAAGGGGCTGTGGTTTAGTGGTATAATATTCCCTTAGCATGGGAGAGGTCCGGGGTTCGATTCCCCGCAGCTCCATTTTTTGTGTTTTTCTTTTTGTCCTTATCGATTCGCTTAGCCTATGTCTACTTACCAACTTAGGCAGCTGAAAGCCGTCTGTTGACTATTCCTACTTAGTTTGTCCATGTAGCAATGCCCTTTTCCGCCCAGGCGACACATTTTCACATTTTACAGAGCACCCCTCCCCAAATGCTGTACCTTGCTGTCGCTAGATTCAAAAACCTCTCCACTGCCACCAAACTGCCAATGGTCCGCCCAGAGCATTCACGAACAGATAACCCATGTCAACCGCTTGTGTCGTCGAAAATGACCAAAGGCCAGTGGTGGCCTACACATGCAGAATAACAACGGTGTCAGCCTTTGCACAGGAGTTAACAGCGATCAGTGTATCTAGAGGGTGCAGATAGCCTCATATTACTTCAACATCGACCAAGGTACGATGGCACATTCGGATCATCGGGTAGCTTCTCTAGAAAAGTAATCGTTCATTTGTCCCCCAGCTGGAGCGAGAAGTTCATACGGCCACAAAACACCCCAACATTGAATACTGGCGAGCTCAAAATCAAGGTAAACCACTACATCCAACTGCCAGAACTCCCGAGTCGAGCCATCACGATCCCGACCATCCCAGTCAAGCCACAGGGGCGCAGATGCATCTCATGATCAACACACTATGTAACCTTGTCCTCTTGTTGCTCGAAGCACAACATAGCTAGCAAACACATTTCTCAAAACCACTGCCCACAATCTATTTTGAGCCTCGTGGCCTAAAACGACACATGGCAGGCAATGAATAGAACCCCCGCCGAAATTCACTTGCCCATGACCAGCCGGCCTATCTGGGTAAAGCAAAGACAGTGACTGACAAGGATAGCCTTTCCCCGCGGGATAAAAACAGAACAGCAGCCCGGGGTGGCTGAGACACCAATTAACTCAAATAACAGATCCCTCAAAAGATCCGGGCCCCCTGCTGAGGATCGGTGCTGTTTTGACCATCATCTGTGCATGCCGAGTGAACGCAATCTTAAGATGAACCTTCAACGAGATCCTGGCAGAACCGCATACGCCGTATGCCTTCTGCTCTCTCTTCAATACAACTGTCTCGCTCGAGCAGAGAGCTTCACCTATCCGACAGCAAAGGAATATCAGTTCATCGTGGGAGACTTGGTCAATGTATCCTGGGACGTGGTGACATCGCGTGTTTCTCTCTATGAAGTGTGCAACACCAAGATTCCTCTGCTAGGTCAGTACCCCTACAACTACCACCATTGACTCAGGCTGATGGAATCACAGTAAATGTCACCAATCCCTACAGCTATGTTTGGAATGCAACCCGCGACAAATACAGAGAGTCCGGCTGCGCATTCGAGCTCGATTCACTAGACATGTTCGGTATTCTTGACCCACCAGTACTCACCAGCGTCAAGATTGGCGTGAGCAAGCGTCAGAAAGATGACCCGCCGCCTGAGTTTCATAACTTGTACGACCCGACCAGCAGCACCACTAGCAGTACTTCTAGCACTACTTCAGTGAAATCTACCTCGAGTACTACTTTAACAACATCGACCTCTACATCTTCTTCACATGCTACAAGCAATGCGGCTGCCGACATAACAGCAACCCCTTCTACCCCAGCTCCAGCTACTACCGATACAAATAGTGGTCTCACTGTCGCACAAAAGGTTGGGATCGGTCTCGGGGTCCCGCTAGGAGTGCTGGCAATATCCATCGTTGGGGCTTTAGGCTTTCTGTATCGACGTCGATCTCAAAGGAGTGGTGTGGACGAGCCACCGAATTCGAACCAACCCGCATCCTCTGGCATGGTTGAAGCGGCCAAGGCTCCATGGGATTCTCGCATTCCCAGGGCGGAAACGGTAATCGCAGAACTGCCTTCGCCGTCTTTTGAAATGGAAGGAATAGCAGAGGAGGTGAATCATCGACCGATAAGCGAAGTAATGGGGACTCCTCGGAGTGAGCTTAGTGCGTGAGTTGAGTTTGCGTGAGATGTACATAATGTGCTATGCTGATGACTATCCGAGCAGCTATGTGGCTGCATATGGTCCATATCTAATAAGTAATGCTTGTCATTTGGTCACTTATTTGGTATCAACCTCTGATACAGACCTCAAGTAGCAGTAAAACATCAAGTGAGTGCTACAACACTCCGAAAAGGGCTTCACTCTCAAGTAAGTTTTTCAAATAATCAGCTGAACTTGCCTGCCAAAGAACATTATAGGGATAACATCTCCATGCAAGCCATCCAACCCACATACCAACCCTCCCCAATCAACTACTTCAATCCATAATCCTCCTTTACCAAATCCGCCGCCCTCTCAGCAACAGCATACACTACCGCCGCCAACGACGGACTCACCATCATGGGCACAACACTCGCATCCACAACCCTCAACCCCTTAACCCTCTTCACCCTCAACCTCTCATCCACTACCATCCCCAAAGCACAAGTCCCAAGCAAATGCTGAAACGGAACAGCATTCTCCCTAACAAACTGCTTCACCTGCTCCCTATCACCAACATCTACCCCGGGATCCGGCCTCACCCTCCTCGCAACCTTACCCTTAACCAACTCCGACCGAAACACCCTATCAGCAAACCCAACCCCAGCAGCAAGCACATCCACATCAGCCGGATGAGCCAACAGCCCGGGACTAATATCCGGCGCCTGCTTCGAATCATCCGACACCACATGCACCCGCCCGCGAGAAACAGGATGCATCTGGCTCATCGTGATAGAATAACAATCATTAAACCCAGACGGCGGACCGGACATAACTGCCCCGAGATTATCGACCGCGCGCGCGGTATCGAAGTTCTCAGGCGCGCACATGTACTGGATACAAGGACAGGTAGGGTCCTGGATACGTGCTGCGATGATCTTGCGCTGTTTGTTTTGAAGAACGGTGTCCTGTTTCGTCGATGCGTTCTTGGGGTCCAGGAAACATGCGACTGTTTTCTCGAGGTCCTGTTGCTCAACTCGTGTCGCGTAGGGCGTGTAGCCCGTTATACTGAGTGATCCGGACAATGCACCGGTGTGTTTCTCCTCGTAGAGTTCCTGGTGTTCTTCGAAGATAGCATGGTCCCGGAGTAGCGAGTCGACGGACGTATACCCCTGTGCGAGTTCATACACCACAGAGCACAGCGCTTGCTCTTGGAGATTGTTCCCCACGTCCATGTTCGGAACGATGCACGGAATGCCGATTCGGCCGAGGACATTTGGGTCGCCTATCCCGGAGAGTTCTAGGAGTTGTGGGCTCTGCACGGCGCCTGCGCTGAGGATGACTTCCTTGCGTGGTTGGACGGTGTACGACGTTCCGTGGTGGAGGAATTCCACGCCTGTCGCTTGGCGCTCACTGTGCTCGTTCGTCCCAAGAGTGACCTTACACACGAGCGCGTCTGTCAAGACACGTAGATTCGAACGATTGGTATTCGGGGCCAGGTATCCGCTTGCGGAGTAGCTGCGCACTGGTTTGCCGGTGCGATCAATGGTGAAAAGTGTGCGGTAGAACCCTAAGTGGTTCCCAGCGTACGGATTCTCTGGTCGTGGCAATCTAGAGACAGTGTCAAGAGCAGGTATGAGACTCTTCTCGAACGGGGCGTGCCAGGTCCCGAACGAATGATGAATCGGTCCCTCAGTCCCATGAAGACCAGGATCCAGCGGACAGATATCCGTATCCCGGGACGTGATATTTGGCTGACCCACCTCCAACTTCTCATGCTTCTTGAAATATGGAAGTAGATCGGACCACTCCCACCCCTTCACACCTGTAGTCTTGCCCCAGTCGTTTATTTCTTCTTCTGTTGGTCGCCCCGACATCATGAAGTTCAAGCCGCTGGAGCCGCCCAGCATTTTGCCGCGGTGGGTGGCGTAGGTTTTGTTGTTCACGCCGCTCTGTGTTTTAGTTCATGTGAGCTTTGGTTGTGTACTGGTCTGTGGTAGTGGTGTAGACGTACCTGTGGAGAAGTCTGGAAGCACCAGTCATATTCTGGATCTTTCAGGGTCATGGCCATCCCGGTAGGTGTGTCCACCTTTGGATCACCGAGTCGCGAGATCCCGGCTTCGACTACTCCAACGCGAACATTGGGGTCTTCTGATAGACGGGCAGCGAGGACAAGGCCCGCGGTGCCTCCGCCGATGATGATGAAGTCGAAGGTGTCGTGGATGAAGTCTGTTACTGGGGTTGAGTCCATTGTGATGCTTGTGATGGGTGGATTATGTGAGGGCTGGGTACACCTTGCCATAGAGGATAACTTCCTGTCACCGGTATAGAGATGACGGTTGCAGAGAAATGCGGAGAGCAAGCTTCATATACCCCGAAACTGATCTGGGTCATGACTTCAGCGGCGCTGGTGTGGAGTGTAAATAGCTACCTAGCCCTCCATGCGACCGGGCATATAGACTCTACAGAAGATAAGAAAGGCATACTCAAGGTTCTGCTGTGACAGTGGAACATGCTCGAGCCAGACCATAGCCATTGCCGCGAAAGAGCGACCTGTCAGTGTATCCGATGATGCTGTGTTAGAGTCCTATAGAGAAAGTTGAGTAGCGGAAGAAACAGTGAGTGGATCGCCGCTGAGTTAGGATTGTTTCCAAGAATCAATGAACTCTTCCAGGCTCATAACAGAGTACAAAGGATTATTGTTCTAATGCGGAGGCCAAAAAGGGAGAATGTCTCTATAACTTGTATAGTATGAAAAGTGGGACTGCTGCGGGTAGCGACCAAAAACAAAAAGCAAAAAAGAACAGCTGGAGCTGCGGGGAATCGAACCCCGGACCTCTCCCATGCTAAGGGAATATTATACCACTAAACCACAGCCCCTTTGCTGTTGAAGACCTGCTTGTTATTTGAAACTATAATATAGACTTAAGGCCGCTCGGCATAGCACATGCTCCTCACTAACTCACATGGGAAATTACCCCCTTCCATGGTTACCGGGGAATTGTCGGACATACGGACATTCAGCCTAATATCGTTATTGCAGTCCCGTCCCTAGTGATGATAATATTGAAGCACTGCCAGGGTATGCATCCTACCATGCGAATATGTACTTTCTTCCGCCCGAAGCAGGGCTTTTGTTGGGTAGCATCGGATCCCAGTTATTGCAGCAAATAGTACTAAATGGTATTTCTAGAAAGGGAATAAATGCTATGTAACTTTTAATGCACGCGGCTTTAGTGCCCAATTAAGCAGCAAAATCCCGAACAGAGAATCAAATCAATGCCGAAAGCACACTCGTCCGTAACTCTTGTGCTTGCCACGCTCTTCCCTCTCCTACCTGTCTCATTTGTCCAGCTCTCATCCTTACGAGATCTCAATAACCGGACCCGTGTAGACATGACGAGCCCTCAAAACATAATAAATAATAGCCAGAATGACGACACCCATAGTACCCACCACACTATAATTCATATTCGTCACCGTCACTGGCAATTCAGTAGGCCAGTAACTGAAGAAGATGACAATCACGATGTAAATCACCGCGTAAGTGTTGATCAAGATGCCCCAGAGGCCCGGGACACGGAACGGACCCCACATGAGCTTAGCGCCAGGGACATTGACCACAGTGTCGTCGCTGGCATTGTAGTTGCTGATGGCGCCGCTGCACCGGCGCCAGAGAAGAAGGACCGCCACGATTAGATAGGAGGAGTACAAACCCGAGACCGCCATGGAGACGACGTCGTTGAGGGCGACGGCGGAGCCGATGTTGATCAGACCAAGCAGGCAGCAGATGGTCATGGTGAGGAGGATGGAGTAAGTGGGGAGGAAAGTACGGTTGGAAACCTGTGCCATTGTTAGCAATTATCTTTATTGGTATGATACAAGGCACATGGAAACATACGTGGCTCCAGACTCGCCAGCCAGGGACACCACGGTCGCGAGCGAACGACCAGAACTGGCGAGAGGTGGCAGTCAACATGGCCAGGGCGGCGCAGATACCGACAATAACGAGGATGGAGGACAAGCCCAATGCACCTGCGACCGAGCCGGTTGCTTGCTGGAAGATTTCCATGAAGGGGTAGCCCGTAGGAGATTCAAGGGCCGCATCGACACTGCCCATGCAGAAGAGAGTGGCGATCAGTATGGTGAATCCCAAGGTGCCGTTGATGGCGACACTTAGGAGAATGGCACGGGGAATGACGACCGTGGCATGGTTCACTTCTTCAGCCATCTGTAGAAGTCAGACATTGACCATTATGCAATAGATGGTGGACTTACATGCACGGCAGCATCACCGCCTGCAAAGGCAAACACACAACCGGTCATACCGACGAAAAAGGACACACCATCGGTGTAGAGGTTTCCGCCATTGGTAAAGTCCTTGAAAACCGCCTCGGTCGATTTGTGGTCGGACATATATGTCATAGGGATGAGCACACCAAAGTATCCCAGAATGTGAATCATGAGGATGAAGGTTTCCAGGCGAGGCAGGAACTTTCCTCCGATAATGTTCACAAGGAGAGCTACGACCACGACCGCCCACATCAGAAGGGTACCCTGGTAGGGCTGCGAGCTGAAGCTGTTCCGACCCAAGATAATGGCACCTAGAATCTCAGTTCCAGCCATGTAGGATGACGATGCAAAGGCGGCCTGCCATCCGATCACGGTCAACCATCCTGCGGTGATGGTCAGTAAGCTGCACGATCGCTGTAATAACAGAACGGAAGAGCGCACCTGTGATGTAACTGAGGAATTTCATATGCTTGTAAGGCGCAAGCATGGCACACCAGTGATATTGGCCTCCGGAAGTCGGTGCCCTTGGCAAGTCAGTATACCACCAGGGAATGATATCCTGACTTCGACTTACATGGACGCCATTTCGGACAGCAGCACGAAACAGCAGGCTGTTCCCGTCCATGCAAAAATAAAGGAGTATACTGCACCAGCAGATCCACCACTGTTTGTTCAGTCAGCTGCGTTCATGGACTGATCAAAGGCTGGACGTGGGATAACCGACTTTTCGAGGGGAATAGTAAAAGTCCTGGTCTCTGTTAGTTGCAATGTTCCAGACTCTCACAACCATAGATGGCCTTACGATAGAATACCCTCCCAGGTGCCGAGAATGGTACAGCTGAGACCGATAATCGAGAGAATACCAAAGTTCCGCTGCAAGAGCACAAGACAAGCATTAGTTTCTCCGAATCCACTGCATAGTATCGAAAAGCTGGGACATACCTTCAGGACAGCCTTCTTGCCCAATCGTGCAAGAGCCAAATCATCACGCGCTCCCGAGTCGGATCCGTTTACCTCTCGGTTGGCCGAGCTGGCTCGGTTCTTCAATTCGTAGGACGCCATGGTGAAAACTCAATTGCAAAGACCACGACCGGCGTGAGGGCGGAGAGTTGCAGACGCAGCGCGGTGTCCAGGGAGCGACCGATTAATATAACAGACAACTGGCCACCTAGTCCACTGCAACGTCAAGAAGCGAGATGCAGCAGAAATTAAGGCCGTTAGTCGAGATGCAGCATTCTAACGCCACTACCGTCTCTAGTATCGTTGCTTAGCATGCACCGGGGCGTCCATACATAACCTAACATAGTACACGTACGGAGGGCGCCGGGCTCACCAGCCGGAGTAGGAAGGTTATATGAATCCAGGGGTAACCAACGACGACCCTGAACAATAACAGAAGCTGAACGCAGCACGCAGTAAGCTTTCTTGGAGGCGGGTCAGGTCAGGCCCGATGGAGGAGATGTAACCACCGATAGGACCTTGTGGGTACCAGGGTCAGTGTGTGGCAAGTGGAGGCCATCGGGACCACCCCCGGTCTAATAGTATTTACTTTCAGTTTCCATAGTATCTAATGGGGGTTGCTAATCTAGCGTGAGAAGCTAGACTAGAGAACGGGTGGATGGCAGGCCCCAGTCCCCGCCCGGCGCAGACACCTTGCATGCACCGGACTTGTTAACTTGTTAGATAATGAGCCAGAATCAATCGTGACTGGCAAATTGTAATTGTAACTGGTGGGCCCGACTCGGACTCAGCTATCGATTCTTCCGGCGGGACTCGCCTCTGCGACCGCATGATATTCTAGTTTGATCGAGTTAGGCTAGCCAGCCAGCATTCCGATTCCCCTCCCTTCCGTTGAATGCTTGTGGCTTTCTCCCCCAAAGTCCTTCGCTTATGGACATGGATGCCAGGTTGGAGATCGGAAAATTGAAACGGCCCAACACATCAAAGAAGATCCCCGTGAGCACTTGCACTGCACAGTTCATTTTGTCTGGCCGCGTGTGTTGGATCAATCCAAGGATCTAGTGCTGATGTGGTACCGCGAGTCGCTTGAGCGGGAGACAAGACAAAGAAGGCAGGTCGGATAAGAGAAATTAGACTCACCTGCTCGATCTAGATCCAGTGGAAGACGGGACCGTGGTCGGAGCGAAGACTAATAACAGACATTAATATCGAGAATAATGCTTGGAAGGGAGACAATTAATCCGTCGGTCGAAGGCCGGGCCAAGATACGAATGAAAAGTGGCCAGCCCAGAGTAAATTAAACCCGACCAGGGTTGTCCCCCGCCGTCGTCTCACCGTCGGCTTCCATGCAATCAACCACCATCCTGGTCCGACTTTCCCTGCGAGTAGTCAAAGTCTATTGGCCTTTCACCAATTGATGTCGGCCGCTCGGTTGACAAATGAACACACCAGGATCCTAATCCCAGCTGGCCATGCGATTTCCCATCCTCCCTCAGGAGGGAGGGGGCGTTTTCCAAGAACCCTCTCTCTGCCCACACCAGAATGACTGCCCGGATGTTTCCCCTTCTCTGGTGCTTCCGGGTGAAAATAATCTACTTCAGTCACAGGCCCTGCATCGATCGATTTCTCGGCACCGGTACTCCGTATTATTATTTACTCCAGATCGTGCCCGGTCTCGCAGCCCTGGCCCAGCGCCATCAGCCGACTCTTATTATCTCCATCAGTTCCAGATCGTTGCGTGACATGATTCCCGCCGAGAATCAGCGTCAGCACTCTGATTGCCCTCCATGGGACGGTTCACTGGAGACACCAAAGATCCGGCCGTCAATGTATCGACATGGTTCCTGCTCGTGACTGCTTCGCTGAGCGTCATATTCCGGCTGGGGACCAAGTACGGTTCGTTCCGCACGCTCACAAACGATGACTATCTTATAGTTGTATCGCTGGTATGTCGATCTGCCGCCTAGACCCTCACAAAGGCTCCAGCAGACTAACTACTTGCTCTGGATGGGGCGCGACAGATCTTCTGTATCGGCCAATCCATCGCTGTATCGATGGCCGTCGCAAACGGATATGGATACCACTACTCCACGCTTACCCCGGAGCGCTTCGACAACATGATGAAGGTATGAGCTACACCTGCACCAGTATGCAATGTGCCTTTCTGCGGTCGCCTTCATCCTCCGGAATCCTCACTGAGAACAATCGGTATCATTTCAGTCGCAATACGCCGCCGCTCTCCTTTACATCCCTAGTCTCTATTTCTCGAAAATCTCCCTTTCATGCTTCATCCGCAACCTGACGCCGACAGCCAAAGACCACCGTGTCGCCAACTTGGTGCAAATATCGGTGACCGTGATGGCCCTAATATGTCTACTGGGAACCTCCTTTCAATGCAGCGTACCGCAGACCTGGAATTACTACACGGGGAAATGCATGAACCTGGTACTATCCCACTACCCTACGCTACTCCGAAGATATAGGCGACAAGGTTAACCAGCCCAACAGATAGCATGGCACTACTTTACGGGTATCATGAACATTGTGACCGACACCATGATCACCTCACAAGCGCTCTACCTAATCGCGCGCATTCAAACCTCCTGGAAACGCAAGTTCGTGTTCGCTAGTATTTTTCTATCTCGAGTTCTGTCAGTCTAACTCTCCTATCATCCGACCGGACTACCAACTAACCGAACCACTTCTTCGAACAGAGTGATCCTAGTCAGCATCGTCGAACTCATCTTAGTCTCCCAAAATGACGCAACACACGACCCTTCCTTCTCCACCTGGGGCGTAACCATCAGCGTGGAAACGATTCAATGTCTCAGTATCGTGACAGCCTGCTGGGCGCAGCTTAAACCCTTCTTGAATATGCTCAAATCGAACGGCCTCCGGATCCAAGGCGTGGACTACCGATCGACGAATAACCGATCGAAATGGTCGACGACACGGTCGGCGAATCCCACGGAGAGCAAGTTCACACGCAGCGGCGAGCACGAGTTGATGGGAATGGGGGCTGGACAGGGGAATATCACGACTGTGTCTGCAGCGAGATTGTCGGATGAGGATAGTCAGTCCAGTCAGGCGGGGATTATTCGGGAGGTGAGGACGTGGGTGGTTAGTGAGGAGGTGGAGTCATGATTATACCCTTCTTTTGTCTTTTTCCTTGTCCTTTTGCTTTTGACAACGTTCGATACATATTCCCCTTTGTTCTGATTGTGAATCAGAGAGCTGCAATAATACTGGATTGAATCTGTGGATTTGATTTGGACTTCATGTACATTATTACCCCAAGTCTTTTACTTTGTAACTAGCTCGCATGATGACTTAATGACTCTTCGTACAAGATACAATCTTATCTTAAAGCTAAATGCCATGCAGTACAAGAAAGACAAGCAACAGTAGCAGCAACAAGCAGCAAGCAACGAGCAACAAGAAACAGCACAAGCACGAGCAGTGTCCCCGTAAGCACGGAAGAACCTAAGCCAAGCAAGCAGCGGCGACACCGGACCTCCCACCATGAACGGAATAGGGGCTCGCTCGCAATCTAATCTAACCACCACACTAAGTCACCAAGTACAACATAACCTAGCCTAGACTATCTAGCATCAATACGGAATGGTCTATTCTAAACTAAGTAAGTAAGCAACTAGACCTCAATGGTCTCGACTCGGGCAAATCCCAAGAACATTGGAATTGTTTCATTCGCGATCCCTCCACTAACTAAACCACCCTAAGTCACTCTACGATAAACTAACTAACGCTCTAGTCTCCGAAACTGACGTGGCTTGCATGTGGCCCGTCCTTCTAGACTTGAAATTTCCATCCAGTAATATTCTCGATAAAGTACATAGTAACCCCTCCACTTTCCGAGACATAAGGTGATCGTAGCACTGAAAGGTAAATTTCCCCAGGTACTTGGAGGCGAGCACTTGGCTACTCCATGGTAGAGAGAGGAGTAGCAGCCAAACCAATGACATCTAATAAACCTCACCAAGACTATGATTGGTCTGCTGTTCCTTTCTTCCCACGATAGTAAAAGCACCAGCCATTCCCGCCCCCATGATCTGTGGTACTTCCGGGAATTCAGATTTGGCTGTCAAGACCGGGTAACTATCCCATTTGATAATCCAGATCAACGCTGTGACTACGGGGTTTCCTCTTTCTCTTTACTATCACAATTGCGTTATATGCTCTAAACTGTGTACGAGAAAGCAGCGCAAAATAGGTAGCTTTTACTGCCCGAACCGACATAGCCTAGTAACGGAGAGCGACTTTCAAGAGGTTAATCTGCACTTCGACATTGATATCTACTTTGGATCTATCATAAGCACACTATGACGGAGAATTTGAATGTTTCGGTACCTGTAGCGTAGCGTATCATGTCTCCTAGTGATACTAGACTAGCCAAAGTATTTGACAAATAATTGAAAGACATCATCATGCACAGTAGGATGACACAAACCGAGCACAGACAAGACCAGAACGACGGTGACACCTGCTTCCAGGAATAGAACCTCGCCAAGTAACTTGAAAAAGTGTACCCGAGATGACCACGGGAACCCTTGCCAGGCGCCTCTGATAGTCATCGACTCACCTCTTTGGGCAGAGGCGGTGACTCGAATAAAAATTGCATATGTAGGAACCACCATCCCAAAGTAAAGAACCACAATAGTGCCCAGAAGACTGATGAACTGCACCGTTTCTGAGACCCCCAGCCGCTCATTCAAAGAACCCGCCAGCTGAATCAAGTAAGTAGGTAGATAAAAGCATATACTTGAGGCAGTGCTATACAATAAGATAGATGTGAAGGCCTTCGACCACATTGACCACGTTGGAATGTAACGTGAGTGAGGAAGTGTTTTCGAATGTTGACGCAAGATTGTGAGCACATTGGCTACTCTCAGGTATGAAAGTAGCAATTCGGCTGTGAAGCTGAGCAAGCCGCACTTCAGTGGACTGAATTCCTTCATAGGGAACATAGAAATCACATAGATCTTGGCCAGCCGATGGAAGACGAAGATGGAAAGACCTCTGAAATGCCGGCGCGAGAGTGAGGAGTTCAATCTAGGATTGGGTGTTTGAGTCGCGATCAGTGTTGCGAAGACATACGCGTGGGTATATACGGCCTGTTATTCATTAGTTGACTCAATATCTAGTTCGCATGCGTTGACGATAGCTTACTAGAAGGAGCCCGAGCAAAGCCGCAGCTAGGAGGAGTACTACTGGCACTTGTTGGCTTGGGCTGTCTCCAGGGAGCTCCCACTTAGCAAGGTCCAACGACATGTTTAAGGGATAAACTCGTGTATAAAAGGAAGCATTGCCAGAAAAGCGTAACACTGAAGTAATAACTGCGAGCTTCAGGGAAACTGGGTAGTGCAAGATGGGTCGAAGGCACAGCTAGAGGAGTTAAGACCAATTCTTGGATTAAGAGGACAAGAGTTTGTTCGCTATGTGAGGGATTTTCGAGTTCAAGAGATTCGGATGAAGAATATTGGAGAAAGAGGACTCAAAACAAAATTAGCAAGTATATAATAAAATAAGAAGATATCCTTCTCTTCTCAAGCTGGCAAGAAAAGTACTCCTCTAAGATATTAAGACGTATAAGAGTTTTTTTCAGATCATGACTGTATTATTAATAGATTCCATTTAATTAGACTAGTTATTGTATGATGCAGATAATCAGACATTAAAATATATGAGGTAACTCAATTTCTGGACATAGATAGTTGCCTCCTTCTGTTCCTTCAGATCTGAAAGTCTTAGTAAATACACAGACTTCTTTTGGCTTTCTTTGTCATTACGACTTCTAGGATGTCACAGGCAGAAGGGGCATCCAGGCGCGCCCGCAGGCTGGACTAAAGTAGGCCCGAGGCTACAATATGGGCCAATCCCAATGTAGGTACTCTAGATAACTAATCAGACGTTCTAGCTAAGTCAGTCAACCCTAACTAAAGTAACTATTCCCGATATGGCGAGTCAGAACCGATGCAATCAGCCAATCAATTAATCAATTTCCGGCAAATCAGAGGTGTTAATTCAAATTGAGTGCATCCGAGCTCGCTCGAAACAGATTAGACCAAACCACAACCTAACGGACCAGACCAGACCGAAACAACATCAAAGGCTTTGTGCTTCGAAACGCAAGTGATTAATTACTATGAACAATTGGTTCACTGTTGTACGTTCGGAGTACTCCGTCCTGCTCTCTCCCGAACCAGAGTCAGCTACCTGCAGATCATTAACTCTACTATCCGCCAGCCAGTCTGTCAGATGTGACAGCCAACCCGTACCCGGACCTATGTCCGAAATCGGTGGCGTGCATGTGCCCTTCTTCCCCCCCGTGTGACTGCACTGGGACTGCTGAGGCAACCACCCACCTGCTGCAGACCAGCCTTTCAGTTCTCTTTCCATTGTCTCGGATCCTTCATAGACAGGGCGGAATACCCTGCTCCTTTTTTCACTCTTACTGCGTTTATCGCTCTCGTTGTACTCTCTCTCCCTCTCTCAGTCTCTCACCTGACAGAAATGATAACAGCTTGGTGTTTGTTGCATGGCCGGAGTGGCGAGACAGGTTAGATAGCGTAAAGACCAATAAGCACAAAGGTCAAAGTCAAAACCTACGATTACCCGACTAGCTTCATCCTATGGCAGACAATGATAGCTATTATCTCTCCTAGCTTACCTGTTCCTCAATAGACACAAAGGAGAGAAAGCGGCTGTGTGACGCTGCAAAACAAAGTAAATATGATATCCCCCGAGGGGGAATAATTCCGGAAGATGGCATGGCATGCATTGCACGTTTGAAGTAAAAAGCCCCACAAACTCTATCATGATGAGCTTCCATGTCAGAGTTCGGGACACTCACTGCCAGATCCAGAGAAATACACGACGACTAGAAGACGAATCTGACAGCAGGCACACCGCAAAACAAGAGACTTGTCAGAAATGTTGAGGTTAGAAGCGAATAGGAATGGGTTGGGACTCGCGAGGGGAAATGAAAGAAAAAGCAATTCGTGACAACGCAGGGCAGCCTCGGCCCATTGCCCCCCTCTCGACTCCGCCTTTGGCGGCAGAGTGCCCCCCGGCACAACTTCATGATCATCGCAGGGAGAAGAGAGAGACCCTGGCAGCTGCTTGGCAAGGGAAGACTCCGCCCGTATGAGGCTGTGATTAGAGGCAGTGCAATACAATAAAGAGATTCACTAACAATTGTGTTTGTGACTGGAGTCCGGGAGCTAATGTATGCACATTGCGACCCGGTGGGAACTGTTGCTCGTCATGCTTGTCTACAGAATCGACTATCGCACCAAGTCAAAACTCTAGCCAAAGAGGAGACCACTCTGTTGACCCACATATTTGTCGGCGGCATTGACTGCTTCGTAGAGAAGAACGCGATCTGGTATCATGACGTAGAGAATTTCTTGAGTGACCATGGCGAAGGATCAAACAGTAGCCACAACCCAACCCAATCCCCGCTGATGCCACCAGCCCGGGGCTCACTAGACTGGCCTCAGAGGACTCGGGTTGAGCATACAAGCGGCGGCTCTTACAGTCAAGTGCCGCTTCCCTGGTTACATCGGCGAAGCTGATCATTTTACCTTTTCATTGGCAACACATCCTTTCCCTGACACCGACCCTTATTCTCATTCGTGAGCTGGCCAGGGTCCCTCCCACATGGGCTACAATTAGAGGTCTGATCTGTGCCCAATTAAGCCTACCCCCCCAGGCACTCTGGATGACTAACGGTACCATTTCATTGTCAATTAACGTTCCTGTGAGGAAAAAGCCCCAGGAGATTGCTCAGACGTGGTGCCAAAAAGCTTTCTTGCCTCCTTCGCCTCTCTCCGCGGTGGCATTTCCCCCCCAGAAACTCCATGCTTTTCTGCAGCTGGCAGCACTATCGCGACTGGTATCCAGATCCGTAGCTCTTGCTGAAAGACTCCCACACCCCTGCTCCTCATCGTCTGGAGCTATCTGGTTGGGTACGTCATCGGAGAGAGCGACGCGGAGTAGGCTGTCAAGTCAACGGCCTTGCATTCCACATCCATAATGACAAACCCTTTGGCTATATCTCTACCTAAAGGTCGTGAGTATCGGTTGAATCACAATAATCATATGGAACCTTCTCACAACTGACCACGGTTCCTGCTTCAGACAGCTCCAGTGACGTCGGTAAGCCCTCACGAACTCGCGGCTTGCTTCGGTCCGCGAAGCGCATACTCTCCCTTTTCCTCCCGCGAAAAATATTAGATCACCAACAAAGGTCAGAAGATAAAGTGAAGATGAGCAACCGGCAAACCAACCATGAGCTCGTTGTCGTGGGGTCCCAGCCAAGGCGGCCTACGAACGGCTGTGAGTACACGGTGAACCGACGGCCACAGCTTCACGAACCGACCAGACATCATGATGTACGGCTATATCGTCCAGTAATGGACGACCAGAGCAATCATTCAGACATCCCAACGTACGACAACCCCGACTCATACAGAATTGAGATTTCCAGCCGGAGAACTGACGGTCGCAACTCCGATTCCGCTTCGTCAAGTAGCAGGATAAGCGCAGCAGTGTCTCCAGGACTATCCACCCTAGCCAGCGCAGGCAATAGCACCGATCAAACAACCCCATTGGACGCACAAACCGAGTTCAGACTACCTGGTGAAAATGAAGATATCCGAGCGACATCGCTGGACCGCATCTCCCAGGTGAACCTCTCCCCGGTTTCGACGAACAGCGAGTATAGCGAGGAGGTGTTCATGGTCGGCAGCAACCCTGCAAACAAGGTTTCGGCATTGATGGCACTGGATACACAAGCATCAGCCAATTTGATGGATGTTGAGTTACAGCAGGAGTTGGAATTGATGATGGAGCCTTGCGATCAGGAACTCGTCCCATTGCAGACCAAAACCGGCAAGGACAGAATCAAGCCGTTTGGCATCGCGAAGGGCGTCTCATGGCATTTTGCACAACGCGAAAAGACATTCACTAGTGACTTCCTGGTTGTGGATATGAAGAACTATAATGCCATCTTGGGGAGGAAGGATATCAAAAAATTAGAGATCCTCAAATCTGGACCTGGCCTTGAACGCCGTACGACGATTCGGATGTCCCGCTCGTGAATATGATCCATGTCATGCTTGAGCATGACGATACTTCGACCCATTGTGGATGCGCACCAAGCTCATCCCCACCATTGGGGGAGTCTACGCATTCTTATACCTACTACTTTACGATTACTTGTGATACCCGAAAGGGCAGCTGCGGATATTGCATCACACATTTACTTTGGGGCAGATGCTGCCCAGCTTTGCACAGACACAGCAAGGTTCCGACCAGTCAATGACCGAGATATTTCTAATGACGGGGTGTATTTTAACTTATGATTGTCTACGTTGTACATGTCCGATTGAGGCGCATTGATGATTTGTCTTGAACCTAGTTAGTTACCTTGGGCGGCGTTTTTGTGGAAAGGGGAATTAATCATGGCTGGTTGGGAGAGCATTGGACAGGGCAAGGGCGTGTTTCAGTAGTTGATTCGCGGGATATTTGTTTTTGATTAACGATACGTGGGAGCATTGTGTGTCGCAAGCGGTGACACATTCAATTTTATTACTTACTCTGGACATGTCATCCTCAACTACGTACTTATTTCCAGTTTGTCTGTGTGGCACTTCCGTGTCGGCTAGTAGTATGGATATCTGCAGCTACTTCTCGTTTCCTTCCGGTCGCACATCCCCGCACTGCCATCGGCAACGATCCTTTCATGCAAAGGAAACATATCGTCACCAATGAGCGTGAGGGGTCAGCTTCTGCTAGTGGCATGAATACCCAGCCGGATCTTCGTTTATGCCCAATCTGCACGACATGGCGAATTATCATGAGCTGAATGTATACTATGACAAGGGCTCCGCTGCCTGGTCGATAGAAAAGGTGAGGGAGGAAGAGAAAGTGAGATATGCAGCTTCGCGTAACAAACAAAGGATAGGGGGGATGGAAGAAGAAGTTACAAGGAGTGCATGCGATCTACGGAGTACGGATGGATGATGGATGGTGCAGTTGCACATCCCACCTACGAGGGGTTGCGCGTGGATAGTCTGTCTGTCTGTTCGTCGAAGCTGCGGCTCTTGGGTGGTCCAGATAATGTCTGGTTTATATGAACGTGGCAGCGTTCTCTGTGTGAGGCCATCCACAGAGAACAGCTTGAAGCTGACGCCCCTTCTGAGGTGAATCGACAGAGCCATAACAGCTTAAGCAAGTACACCCAACGCGAAGCCATGGTACGTTTGGTACCTTACACAGGGCTTCTGATCCCTCTCTTCCTACCTTATTATTTGCATTTGTAGCCTGAGAGCTTACCAGTTACCGTTAATCAGACAAGGCCCAAGACCATAGAGATTCGCTGCCTCAGGCCAGACGAAAAGACCGTCCACCTCAAGGCCGCTATCTCTGAGCGATTGGATGTCAATATCCTCACGCAAAGAGGACTCCAGGAGCTGGAAGGGATCCAATTACAGCGCAATGAGATACCCAAAACAGTCTACGATTCAGATGGTGTTTCATACACAGTGCGCGATGTAGTCCGGCTGAGTATTTGGAAGAAGAGCGAAACCAAACTGTCAAGACAAGATTTCTACGTTTCTTTAAACGACGATGAAGCGCGCTTGGATACCCAGTATGATGCAATTTTGGGGACTCGGTGCAGTGTCGGACGATCCAGCGATGAGAATGCCCTCCCAGTCGCCGTGACCCAGCTCGCATCGCAGAGTGCAAGTGAGTCTGTCGTTTTCTCTTTCTAGCCAACGAAGAAGTGATGCAAACTGAACACTGCTCTAGATGACAAGGCAGCCCAGGAGAAAAAGAAGCGCGAGAAAGAGGAAGCATTGGCGAAGAAGAACCAACAGTTGCGTGAACAGCAGAAAAAGCAGGCTTCCCAGGGTAGATAACGGAATGGGCTTGGATTGGCGACAAGGCGGACTGGTGAAGCGCGCTGCTTGCAAGACCAAGTGTGCCGGGATTATCGCCAGGTTTGTGAGAATGACGCAGAGGCGGCGAATAGGCTACATCTGTATGTATTTGAGCTGATGAATCTGTTGGATATGAATCACTGCTCTCTGAAACTCGATAACAACCTGTCACATGTATGAGATCACCCTTACGCAGAATGACTGGGAAGGGGGGCTGCTGCGTGCTCCTCCAACAGCAATGGACTCTGGGCGAAGGATTGGAGCGGGGGGGATTGACACGGACTTGATTTGTCTTTCCGGGACGATCGGTCGTACTTAGCATTGTAGGATCCAATCACCTCACATCATCCCGCTGCACGACGACAAAATGAGACATATCAGGTGGCACCTGCATAAATAGTCGAGCCTCCAACCTATGCCATTCGCCGGATGGGTGTTCAGGCCGTCAAGTGCCGGCTGATGTCCCGCACAGTCAGCGCTACTCACCGCTGGTAAAAAGAAAATTCTCGGAGGCTTCTCGGATTGAGTCAGGGAACTAGCAATCAGGAGAGTCGATCACGAGAGGTAGCTGGGGTTAGTGAAAGTGATACAAACCAGTGATGGAAAGGCACCCAGATGGGTATTAAAAGCAAGTATACGTCACTGCTTCGCCACGGGGGAGTGTTGGAAGGTGGCGCAAGATGGAAATTTCTGGGGTACAGGGACTGTCAAGCCCTGTGCAAAGAATCGAGTAGCCTTGAGCAGGTTGGGCTCTTTATGTACTTTGGACAGAGCAAATGCAACTCTGGGGCGTCTGACGATCGGCTGAAGGCCAACTTACAAGAGGTTGGCCCCACGCTAATGCAGTATTGCAGGGAAGGCAATCCTCTAGTTCTGCTCATGCAAAGGAGAAGAGGGCAAAGCCGCAGCGCATGTTATGAAAGTGATTGGACAAGGCACATTGCAGGGCCAGAGCGATGTTCTTAGGTGGGCTGAGCTGCAAACACGGCATGATTTCCAGTGCTTCCATTTCGTATTCCAAACAGGCCAGGAAACCCGACCAGCCAGTAATCTCTTGGACCTATTGTCACATAAGGTCAGGCGCGAGGGATAGATCGGTTGTGCCTGTGCCACAAGCTAAACTTGTCTTTACTTCCAGCCCTTCCTGACTTAACCGCATGGCAACCCCCGCCCTTCTAGCGAAGCCCAGGGTTGATAACTGCCGGCTCACCCGGGCAATCGCAAGCGCGACCGCCCGTAATGGCTCCAGATTCTTAGCCAACCTCTGTATAGACTTAGAATTTCATCATAACCGACATCGCCATGCCCGGAACATACCCATGTAAGTGCTGCTTTGTTAACCGTCGTTCTGCATTGCAATCCCCGCAACTTGCAACACAGACAAGGAATTGACCGGCTTTCAGCCCCGAGACCGACGGTACCACGCGAGCGTGGCAAATCGTGGAAAAATGAGAGGAACTACAAAAAGGCCATGGGCCATGGCCACAATCAAAGTGGAACTATAAAAAGCCATGTATGCTCTCTAGCATCATATGAAATATACTTGGTGCTAAAGTGCGAAGTAGGCCCTCCGGATCGCGTTGAAGGGAACCAAACACTTGTTTCTCTTTCCCTTCTGGTTCAACCAAACGCCCAGGCAGCAGAAACCCTCTCTACCTTCGCCTCGGGATTACTACCCGTCAGAAAAGCGCCCACTTTCTCCTGAATATTGGGATATAGCGGACGTCAAACACTCTCAAATGCCTTTGGATGAGCCAGCTAAGAAAGAGAGGGTGTCGCATGAAATTCGCGAGGGCTTCCAGCACACCGAATTGTGTGAGAGATTAACGGGAGCTAATCAGACCGTGCCTGCTACTAATCCAAGAAAGCGCGATGATCAGGAGGGTGTTTTGAAATTTGATTTTATCTACGACATTCTCCTATTCACTTTCGACAAGCAATTGAGGCGACGCATGGTAGTGGACTTTGAAACAGAGGCTAATTTCATGGACCACGATGTCTTCGAAAGAATGAATGCCCGCATGGACCCATATGATGGCCCGCCAACCCAACTTACCACTCGCGGGGAATTGACGCCCCTCGGTAAAGTGCAAGCAACATGGATTATTGTTGGCTACGAAACGCCATATTGTGCCGAATTCTACGTCGTGAAAGGTACCAGTTTCGATATTATCCTCGGCACTACTTCATGTCGGGCTATCGGTCTTTCCTCTGTGGATCCTATGGTTGCCACACGACTCGATAACTTGGAACAGACATAGCGACTACACTAATGTACACATAGAATGGATTTGCTTTTATTTGCTGGCGTTTACTGTATGTACATTTTCTGGGATAAAAGACTGGCTCTATCTCACACAATATGTCGGAGAACACAGGGGCGGGCTGATTGGCTCGAAATCAAACTTTTCTACCTGGCAGTGTTGCTACCTACGTATTTCAGAGCTTAATAGTAAAGAGTGTGCTGGTCAGCCTGCAGAGCTGCCCTATGCGTTAACTGGCTTGTCAACGTAAGACCGACTATCATGTGAATGACCCAGTCATAAAGGAACAAGTCACTCATGCGGGGTCCGTAAATGCAACTTTCTACCACACTTCTAGTGCGCACATTAGAACACATGAATCTCAACGTATTACAGGGACGAAACTCAAATATTGCTTCGCTGGAGCATATCAGGCTGTCGCTCTCATTTAGCCTTATTGAGATTGCGAAAGGGCTGCAAGTGTCATCAGCATACAAAGGGGAGGCCTCACGTCATATGCCATGCTCACCAGATGTTACTTAAATACATAATATCGTGACCCTGCACCATATGATTGCAAGGATAGCCCGAAAGGGAGACGGAGAAAAGCCTCGTATGTTACGTGAAAAGCCTGGTCACGGTAGCCAGATATTACCCGAGGAGATGGTGTTATTTGCGAGTCTGCCTTCCCTTCGCACACTGCATAGAACTAGCTTCTAGTCAGATTCTAAGGCTTCCTGAAGGCTGTGGGATGAGGGGTAGACGAGTCACAGCCACACGGGGCACGGGGGTTCGTACATATTTGTACAGTAGGCTGAGAAGGTCGAGGCCCTCCAAGATGAGCAAATTCGTATAAGTAGACATTATTTTGAGTCTGCTTCAAATTGATATTCACTTAGATATGATGAGACACCTACATATGAGAAAACATAATAAGCAAGAACAATGTCAACCGCTAACCTCCGTCCCGTCGAAGGATACGACAAACTCGCCGCGTTCATAGAAGCCGACCCGGGCCTAGCGATTTTCCGACGTTTCACAAAGCTTAATATTAAAAGTATCCTCTATTACCAAGCAGAGATAGCGAACCTCGAAGAGGAGCTTGACTTTCTCATTCAGGATGACAAGGACTCACAGGACGAGAAGAAGCAGCTATATCCCTTCTCCGTACGGGACCTAAAAGAGGGAAATCCTACGCAGTGGTCGAAATTTCAAGAAGCGCGGGATTTGATGGACAAGTTTAGTTAGTTTTCACCACCCATTTGTGGTACTTGGAAGAACCCCAATTTGACTGAATAGACCATGCTATCATTCAACAACGGGAGCTCATGCGTCTCAGCACGCCAGATAAATGTGACTTGAGCGTGCTTCGAGAGTGGCTTGACCGGCCTGAAGGGGGAAATATGTTCTTCGAAACAGCTGCCGAGATGGACGTCTACCACGAACGGAACGACGGTGACATGATCGCCCTGTTTAGCAGACATGAAGGTGTCGATAATCTGACTCGACTGATCTTCAATCGAGTTGTTCCTTGGTTTCATAAGCGCTGGGGTGAGAAATATGAAGTAAGAACTCTTGTTGGGTAATTTCCATCAGGGAGCTAATTTCTATTGAAACAGAGCAATGAAAATGGCGCCTGGCAGTATAGTGACAAGAAGATCAAGGCGTGCACCCACTTCTTCAGTGTCATTATAGCCGCGGTGCTGCCTGCATCGTCAATGATAGTACTATACTTCATAAAGAATACCGCTATTAGGATGGTCACTATCATGCTGTATAACATCGCCTTTTCCCTCGCACTGGGCTTGATGGTCAGGGCTCGACGGGTTGAGATCTTTGCCGCGGCTACTGCGTGAGTTGTTACTTTTCCTATTTCCTCTCAATAGCATCAAAACCTTATCGCTCATCAAGACTTAGTATGAGCATGCTGACCCTTCTAGGTTTGCTGCGGTGAACGTGGCTTTGATTTCGAACTCGGGAGACTGCCAATGTTCATGAAACCCCAATATCGATTTCGACAAATCTCGGCATCATATTTCCATAGCAGTAATTACAAGATACCCAATAGACTTCCAAATAAACGCCATTTTGATTACAGTGACCACTACCCCCACGCCAACACCAACACACTCTTCGGTGAGCATCTACTCCACAACCAGAACCCCACGGTATCTCATCTTCCCGCCTTCCAATGTCTTTATGGCATCGTTCACGCCATTCACACTGAGAGGATACTTCATCAAAATAGGCTTCACACCATGAAGCGCCGCAAAATCAAGCATTTCCCTATGTACCTGCCTCGCGGCAACAATGGATCCCTGCACACGCAATCCATTCGCCAAAAGGCCCATATACGGGAACTTGAAGTCCTCGTTATCCACTGACAACGGCGAAATGACGGCTCCAGGAGCAAGAACATTAACATAGAGCTTCCAGTCCGGCTGGCTACTCGTGCTAACAATCAGATTGTTCAATGGCTTCCCAATCTTAAGCTCCTTCGCACCCTTGGTGGCATAGAACTCCTTCGCACCCAGCTTCAGCGCCTCTTCTCTCTTATTATCACTACCAGAGAAGACAACCACATCGCAGCCCATCTTCGCCGCAAACTGAATAGCCAAGTGTCCCAGCCCACCAATGCCAACAATACCAACCCGTGAGGTCGGCTTAACGCCACCCACATGCAATGCATTCCACACCGTCGAGCCACCACACATCAGCGGCGCGGAGTCCTCGTTGGAAATTCCATCAGGGATCTTGAACAAGAACGACTCGCGCCACACAGCATGCGTGGCAAATGACCCCTGGTCGAGGTTGGCACTTCCGTACATCTGTCGCTCCGGGCACATTGTCTCCCAACCAGTTAGGCACTGGGCGCATCGACCGCAGCAGTCATGTTGGTAGCCCCATCCAACACGATCGCCTTTGCGCAGTCCGTGGACCTCAGGGCCGATTTCTTCGACGACGCCGGCACCTTCGTGGCCTAGGGCCATGTCTGCGTGTTGGTAGTGGACATCGGTGAAGCAGACGCCGGAGTGAGTGAGGCGGACGAGGACTTGGTCGCGTTGGAGATCGTCGCGGTGGGTGGTGGCTTTCTGGATGGAACCATCTTTGGATCCTTTGAAGACGGTGAAATCGTAGCCCATGGTGGATGTGGTATGGATGTTCTGATTGGTGTAGTTAAATATAGAATTGATTTACCTTGCAGGAATCTAATAATGTCTTCGTCTGCGAGGTCCCCAGGATCCGATTTTATACTGTAGGTTAAGCAAGGGGAAGGCATTCTTCATGATGTCACCATCAATTCATGGTGGAGAACTCGAAGCCCCATTGAGCAATCATCGATGGAGGGTTGCAATGAGCTCAACATGTGGATACGAAGCTCTAGGTCAACTCCCGGTTGCTCCGGGGGTTCAATGGCAATTCTTTGTCGATTTTTACGCGGTACCTCATTCAACCTGGGAAATGATTATGATACTTTGTAGCAATGCTTATCAATCTTGAAGTGTATCTTTGTCTTAAGGTGGGGAGCACTTACCAAGTGAAGGGATAGACTTTCGGCTTCCGCGGATGTCTGTGATGGCTATCGTTGGGTTGCGATGCCGTCATGCCGCGGCTTCTGGACTCTTGAACTGACTCAGGAAGGAAGGTTACGATTCTAACGGTCGCATTGCACGTGGAACTAAACAGGTTTCGTGCATCATGCTCTACGGAGATACAGCGGGCAAAGGAAGCAGATCTTGGGGGTATTTTGTGATAAGGACTTCCATCGACCTCCGAATTTCCTAATCGGGACAAACCCTACCATACAACAAGTCTATGAAATCAGAACAACAAACCCATCATACCTCAAAATGCCCTACATCTCCTTCTGCGGCCTCTTCCACGCCTCCACCTCACACCCACCCCTTACAACCGCCACCCTCATCATCGACAGCAGATTATGCGCCGCATTCGAATGATAGTACACACCCCCATTAAACATAGCGGTCGCATCCTTCCCAACACCAGCCTGAATCATCGCCTTTCCACCAGGATGTTCCTTCACAAAGTCCTCAACATCATGCACAACCCCAGCAACAACGACCAAGGCCCTGCTCTTCGCCCTCTCCACAAACTCCTCCCACTCCATAACCGGCAACTCACTCAAAGGTGTCCCCCAATCCAACTCAGCCCGTTTCCTATCAACCTTTTTCTGCAACTGCTGCACCCTCCCCTTCTCAATCTCATTCTCACGAAACATCTTCAAATCACGCGCCAACCCCACCTGTCCCCAGCACCAAATAGCCCACTTGGTCGGATCATACTGATACCACCGAATCGCATTGCGATAATCAGATGGAAACTCATGATGGAAGTTATGATATCCCTCGCCCATTGTCGCCAACGCCGTTACGACATGATCACGAGGTGAATTGCGATCATCAAACGGCTGTTCACCCAGCCAATGAGCCAGGGAGTTCACGCAGAAAGTCGCCTGTTGCACGAAGAAGATTCGCAGAATGCCCGCGTACACGAACCCGCCCCACCAGTCATCCCAGATGCCTGCAACCAGCATCGGAACGACAAGGCCCATGAGGATAACGATCTTCAAGAAGTGCCGATGCTGCCAGACAACCACGGGGTCGGCGTTTAGGTCCGAGATATCGGTCCGGCCGAACCGCTTCGGGTTCTGCTTCAATATCATCCAGCCGAAGTGCGCGTAGAAGATGCCCTTGTGTACGGAGTAGGGGTCTCGTTCCGTGTCTGTGTACCGGTGGTGCGAGCGGTGCAGGCGTGCCCACCAACGCGCTGAGCCTTGGACGGAGCCACCGGCCGCGAGGGCCAGGATGATGCGGAGAGGGAGGGTTGCTGTGTAGGATCTGTGGGCCCAGAGGCGGTGGTATCCTGTTTGATATGGTGGGTTAGGAGGGATGATGCGAGATGGGGATTGAGATGTGATGATGAAACGCACCTGCTGTGACACCTAGGGCTGTAAAGAAGTAGTAGGCTACTGCCCAGATGGCCGTTTTAAGTCGTAGAGGGGTCCAGAGAGCTTGGATGCAGCCGTAAAGGGGGATCAGGACAATCATGGTCACGTTCAGCCAGTTGACATGTTTGTGCCAGTTTCGGAGGGTGATGGGGGTGTCGGCGATGTGGACTTTGGAGACATGTCTGTCTCGAGCAGGGGGTATATTGGTCTCGCCTGGCATTGTAACTGGCTGGCTCTGGGCCGTATGGTGCTCTGTACTTGGGATGTACATGACGGAAGCTGCGCGGTCTCTACTATATATGGGAGGGACAGACAGCCGCACGACCAGACCGTTGAGCCAAAGGCCCAGCGTTAAGCCCGAGGCATGGCGTCAATTTCCGCTACTGACAGGTTGACCAAGGTTAGGACAGTGATGAGTCGTAGTATGACAGTAGCAGCAGCGAGTGGTTGGGAATAGAAAGGCTAATATCCCTCCCCAATCGGGGCCAATGGGATTATTCTACGGATTCACCCGTACAGGGAACAGGGGTTCACAAGTGATTCATCGCTAGAAATATTCGATGCAAATGCTGTTGAGCAGAGGACTCGGAGAAAGTTCTGCGCTGATAGCAGGGTATAGGGTTCAATTCATCTGCTATCCGTTGGGACCCCAACCACTCTCCTTTGTTTAATGGTGTGGAGTTCAAACATTTGGTTCAATGAGTGGAGAGAGGGGTCGAAGGATTCGTTCAATGGAACTGGCTAAACAGCCAGGTTATTGGGGCCTATAATGACATGGAGAAGTATGCCCTGATTAGGACAAGGGCATTTCTCGGGTGAAATAGACAGGTTTGTGAGGTTTTTCTCTATTCCAGTAATGAAATTGAGAATGTGTTTGGTGTGGTGAACCGGTGATAAGGCGGCGGGAGATATCATCCACCGGTCGGCCTATCCAATCGCGATCAAATAATCAAAAATCACTGTACTAAAAATAGTTATTACCGAGGTCAAACAGACACTCAACAACTTTGCCATGAAAGCACTCACTAGCATCGATGTGCTGCTGACGGACTTTTTTCAAATTATTAATTTGTTCTACTATGTGGATTCTTGAGTTATTGGAAAAATGACTTCAGCCCGGCAGGCTATTTGTTTCCTGCACGAATTGCAACATCGAATTGAAATAGTATGACAGTACTTTGTTCTTGCCCAACCCAACAGCAGGCCGAAACGCACAATAAAGTAGGCTTTGAACAAGACATTCTTTCCACTGCAATGCGCTAAAGCCACACATGCTTGTGAAACAACCGCATAAAGCGTGGATTTCCATAGAACACTTCCTTTTCAGACCGACGTTTTCTTCTTCGCAAGGCTCTTGCGAAGAACATATGCCATCTGTGCTATCATCGAGTACACCCTAGCACTTCAGCCCTAGAGACGACGATAAGAGACATGCGAACTCACCGGAAAAAACAGTGACGGATGTCACCTGGTCACTAAGTAGTAGAGCCTGATATTCCAGCCAACCAGTCTTGCCGGATATTTCCTATCTTAGCCAGCACATATCGCGTTCTTTCGGTAGCTCCGACGTATCCTATACATGTATGGCTCAGCTAGATTGCCGGGGGCTTCCTTTGAACTGTTATCATTTCTCCATGGCTATTCCTATATGAAGGCCATACCTGCCGCGGGGGCCTCAAAATAAATCTATAATCCCAATCACAAAGTACAGTATCGGACCTGTCAAATATTTTCCCATCGCTTCATCGCCATTAAAGTCCGAAGTCCGAACCATGAACGAAGATGCCGTGCTCGATACTCCCCTATGGGACGACACATGGCTTCCAGTTCCAAAATTAGACATCGAGCCAAACGGACCCCTAAAATTGCTCAACATCATCCTGGATCCCAAAGATCCTTGTAATGAACACAAAATCATCTCGACGCATGACCCGAACATTGCCTTCAACATCACCGAGTTCGAGTATCCAAACATGGACAATACAGAGCGCCTTCTCACCAGGGGTGTTAGTAACGCCCAATATCCTGGGATTTATGGACGCGGCGACGCCGTCAGTCTCGACTGCTTCTGCAAGTCTCTCAAGAAAACAACCGTCAATAATGAGTCCGTACTCGAGAGTATTCTGACAAGAGCTACAGAGCCAAGAGTTAGGGAAGCCCTCAGAGACATTCGTCGTAACCCTGCGCCCAGGCCTATTTATATCATCACCGGTATTAAGGTCGCTACTGGGGGAACTATGGATAGCGTGTGGCGTCAGTGGCCGGAGAAAAGGGCATGTATGGGTCATGATAATCATCCTGAAGGAGAAGTGCGTTTCATGGAAGAGAGAATAAGAGTGCCGCCCAGTGCTTGTAGGGCTGATCACTTTGAGTGGAAGGATCCTATTATATTAGCTTATCAGGTGAAAGATATTGCGGCAAAACCAGGAAGTAGGACGTTGGAAGTACGCGAGCATACTGAGTATGTGGGGTTCAGAACTGTAGTCGATCTGCTGCAAAATATGGGTCGAGTGGAGGCGCCTCTTGTTGAGACGGAATGAGCTAGGGATTACGCGTTGTTGGTGTGGTTAACATGGGTGTTATCTTATAAATGCTGATCGGTTAGGTTAACTGAAATGCAAGAATAGTATATATCATGGGCTTGCTTGGCGGATGTGCTGAGGTAAAGCCTGGGGGTGGCTTTTGCAGGATAAAGTCTAGAATGGGCAGTCTTCCTATGATATTGTTCTTGAAACGTACGCTACTTTTAAGTAAGGGTGTGGAACATGATGCCGTCACCAATTTCGATAAGAAGACATAGGGTGAAGCTGGATGAGGGAATACATGCCACTGATGCAGCATCACAAAAGAGAAAGGCGACGAAAGTAAAGGCCAAAGAATGCGAGCTTACACAAACCACATCTTAGTACATTTGTTCTCATCCCAGACACACCCTGACATGATCCCATGGATGTATGCTTCGCCAACAAGAGACCAATGTCCTTGCGAGTCCTTCGCTTCTCTGGCTATCAGAGGTACTTTGGCTCCTTTGCAGAGCGTTATCGCATCACCTTTTCGAGCGGACGCAGGGGAAAGCCCAATGTATCCCATCGATGTCCGAATGACATGTCGATTCCACACATAGGAAAAATTAGGATTTGATGTAAAATCTCCAATACGCAATAGCCCCGAAAAGTCACGCTTTGTCATCATCGCTCGAACAAGAAGCACAGCAAGATTGTGTGGTGTTAGGAACAAGATCCATGGCCAAGCTGGCAGTCCCCAGGACTGGAGTATTTTGGCACCATCTTTAGAGATCATATCAAACCTCTGGAACTGCTTTTTCTGACTCTCATGGTTCTCTGGTGTGACATGACCAGCAAGGAGGGTCTGCCAATAGGCGTCCAACATGTCTCCTCCGCCCACATATTTGGCTTTTACACGGGCTTTGGTAATCTCTTCCCATCTGAGGCAACATTGTAAGAATTCCACCATGGTTTCCATTCGTTTTCTGTATTGTTTGTAGTGCTGAAATGTCCACGTGCTTGGTGGTCGTCGGTCTGCGGTGTCGCTTACTTCCTCGATCCGATCGAACACAAAGCCTTCTACGCCCATCACAGTACCCTGGTGTTGGAACTCAATGCTTCCAGTTGTTTTGGTATCTTTCGAGGCCCGAAAGTGGCGCTGGTTCAGTAGCAAGCAGCCTGGGCGTTGGCTTGCGGCCCAATCTGGAATCCAAGATGGCCAGTCATATCGGCCTTCCACGTTACCAACGGGACCGCTAAGAAGGTCCAGGTTCCCAGATCTTCTGAGCATATTCACTGAAAGCTTCTTGCAAACCTCTCTGTATATAGTTTCCGATTTGATCTTTCTTTCTTCATCACTCCACTTGGGGTTTTGCTCTGGATAGTCAAAGCTCTGCAGCTCTAGATCTTGGAGTTCGGACTCGTCGACAAGGCCGCAAAAGGCATAGATTCTGTCAACTAACACTGTAGCATCACAATTGTTGTTGCGAAGGAGAATATTCAACAGAGTCGACTTTCCAGCGGGCACCTCTTGTCGAAGCTTCTCGACCACAGCCATGTGACTGGGGAGCGGAACCCCAGCGAGAGGTCTGATTGGAATGGAAGGGACAAAGTTCAGCGCGCGAACGAGCTCGCTCCAGGGTATTGAATAGCCACCACAGACAATGCGGACATCTGGTGGCAATGTTGCTTCTTGCACCACCCATGCGCGTGTGAACCATGCCCGTTGGGTGAGCGCTGTGAGTGCTTTCCAACATTGACATATTGTCCATTTTACTCCGGCGTCGTCCAACTGTATCATTGTCATGAAACTCGGTGTCCCTTGACCACTTCTCGGACCCCCATCGCTATCAATCACGAGATCGTGCTTATCCCCCAGGTTCTCTTGGTGATATGCCACACTGCAAAGCCAGTACGCTGCCACGAACGCCCTTTCAGTAAGCTCTGTGGGTTCTCCAAGCCAAATGATTCCCTTAGCACACCTTCTATAGATATCACCCATGAGCTTAAGCTGATGAGACTTCTCTTGTTTGTCATCTTGATTGATACAGATGCGGTCAGCCCATATAAATCGCGATCTTCCCTTGAACTGGCTGAAAACATCACCAGGGTCTTTCCTCACCACGCCATCGCGGTTATCATTAACATCGATGAAAGTGCTGTGGTATCTGCGTACTGTCGCATTGCAGGATGGGTACCGCAGCCATTTGAAGGCGTCATAGAGGCTTTCACCAATGTCGAGGGGGGCATTTCCAACTTTGATCCGTGCATCTCCTGCTTTCGTTCTACCTTTCCTCTTTGAGTATCCTTCATACGGATCTCCCCACGTATAAGAAATGGCTTCATATGGAGGACAATCATCGAGAGAGTGGATATGGATGTCACACCGAATCTCCTCGTCACCCCCTCCAGAATGTAATTCAAGGAGGCGAATTTGCCTCTCTGCAAGTGGGCTGAAATGGACCATCGGGAAGTCACTATAAGCCAAGCAAAATATAGCGAAGTGATAAATATTAGAGATGAGTCTTTTTGATATATCTCGGGATTATAACCTTACTAGAAGGCCTGATGTCCACCATGCACCGAGCTGGTTGAAGAAAGCTGATGCATGCCGCTCCATTAGGAACGATCGGCATATTAATCCATTTAAGCAGCTGTCGCACATGGTGCAAGGGGTACGTATGGTACTTCTGCCTTTATCCTAGCCCTCGAATATTGTTCAAATGCGCAGCTGCCTGATACTTAAAGAGACAACTTTCATTGGTAGATTTTCTCAGCGCGGTCTGATCGGAATTGGTGAATTGAGTTGGTGGGCCAAGAGGCGCTCTGCTGATGCTCAGAAGAAGATCATTGGCTAGAAGTGGTATAGTCACTATTATTCTGTGGCCAGACTGCCAGACTGATATGCTAGCAAACGACAAAGAAAATAGAACCACTCATAGTTGCGCACTAAATAGAACGTTGTCATAAATGAATAAATTGGGCGAGTATAATTTTTTCTATTCTTTCTCCCCTTTTTTGGGCCGAAATGTCGTCACTTTTGGAGCGCTCTGTATCACTGATCAAGTAGCTGAGCAGCTTCTACAGTATCTCTTACACCTGACCGACGCAATACCTGGCACATGTCCAGTATACCCAAGTACTATGACACCACCATTTATTTCACAAGCATATTCATCTCCGCGACGCTGGTGCTGTCTCATGCGTTTCCCTTTGCGAGAGACTCAATTACTGCTGCAACAACACCGGAAAGGACAAGACTGCCCCCCTTTATTTCTTCGTAATTCATATCACTACCCTGCCATGTACATATGGATAGAAACAGTGGTGGATGACAGGGCAGTATGCACGCCTGTGGGGCTGGGCCCAAAAGGACCTCCATCGCTGGCCACGTATGCTGCCACCTACGTGGCCATGATATATACCAGTAGCTCTGGTTTGTGGACAGCCGTGCCATTTTCCGCGGCTTCTTCTACCCCGAGCTGGTCGGGTAAGGCATATTCCGTATTTTCTGCTTCTCGGGTCACTGAACAGACGGGCTGGTTCCTCACTCAGCCACGACACACTTATTGATATATCTATTTGAAGAGAATTTTTCTATTTTATCGATTGCTGGATACCTCCGCGGGATGAATCAAATTCATAATGTTTGAATGGCAATAACTATCTTAAGTTGGTTGCAAAGGGGACATGATGAGATTCTATTTGTGAATTCCACTTGAAGGCTAATGTTGCAAACTAATATACAGTCAATATTGGCGATTGCCACTCTTTGTACCCAAATCTCAAGCAGGGTAAGAAGTGGAGCGTTTGTCAAACATGTAATTCAATCATAATAGCAGCTATAGGTGCATCATTTCCGATGAGATCATCACCGTGCATTAGTCGCCGGGCCACTCGGACTTGTTGTCGATTTGTCCAAGTAGAGTCTCATTTGCGGTGACACAGCCTTTGGAGAATCCTGGTCTGCAAGCTTACGGATCTCAAGAGGCCCAAAAGAGCTGCGGCAAACTTCAAGTCTGGACGGCGATGCGCGGGCATACCCAGTAAGATTGTTGAGAAGACCCGCCAGCCGCGAAAGATGATCTTTATTATCACGCTCCCAGTTCAAGAGTTCATCCTTCATGTCTGATACGCGCACGCTCTTCATGACCCCTTCCTTGTGATATGCCACTGCGACGTTTGAGACTTGTGATGCCCAGAGTCGAGGGAAGACAGTGTTTAGATGGAGCTTTCGAAGTTGGCCATGGTGATTGTACATGGACCGTAAATCGGTGTGGAGGATTTCGTTCTGAGCAACTGGCTTGCCGCCTTCATGTACCTGCAACCCGCTGATGCCTTCAGTAAGACTGCTGATGTTTGTCGTGTCGGTGTTGGTGGATGCACTTCCGCCTTGAAAGTCCAAATCCTGGTTTGGGATATAGGCATCTGACGCAGAGCGAACGACCATATTGATGCCTGCGAAATTATACCGAACAATGCGCTGATGGGCCTTGTATCCAGCGGCTATGTCTTCCCACTTAGTGTATCTCTTCGTGAACTCAGCCTCGTATTTATGTTGAATATCAGACTCAGGCAACCAAACCGGCGCGGGAACTTCTCGTCGGACAAGCACGACCGTCTTGCCGATGCGCTCCATGATAAAGCGAATCTCAGAAGTTAGACCACGGATAAAATCGAAGAGATTTCTAAGGGTGGCCGAGCAGGTCACGATGTCGGTACGTTTAAGATCATACTTCGAATCCTGCCGCCGGATGGCTTCAAAAGATGCCTCCCAGGGATGAGGAAGTTCATTGATGGGCTTCGGGTTGGCCCATTTTGGATAGCCTGTCTCCTTGAGCTTCAGAGACTTCTTTACTGGAGTCCAAAGGGGAGGTCGACCTGAGATCTAGTGAGCTTTAGGTCTTCCAGAGGCAGTGTGGCAGTAAAGAACAAGTATACCTGGGATCAAAATTGATGATTCCCCTGGATCCAACCGTGTGTAGGATGCTAGATAATTGCAGGAGGTGATGCATGGGCTTTTTGATGACGGTTTCACCCTGTCCGATTCGAACTTGGCCAGCACTGGGCCTTTTGGTGGAGAGAGTGACTCGAGAATAACCTCCGCTCCTCTTGGGTGATTCCACGCCTTCTTACGGCGGAGCATTCTCCCGTGCACTGGCCTGTACATATCTGGAGGAGGAGTGTTATAGTATGAGTAGAGTACTTACCACGATGTTGGTGGTATGAGGCAAGCTGGATCATTTAGAGAAGACAGGTGGATCCGGTTGGTCACCTTCCCCGACCGGGGCGGGGTTCCCAGCCTCCCCTTTAAACTCTCCTCCACAACAACTCCGGATATCCACAACTTTAATATTGCCCATTCTCTATATTGCCCACATTGTACTTCTGTCTCGGTAAACAAAGAAGAATAGTCGATCAAATAATATTACTGGCTAGTCAAAGCTCGTATATTTTCCATCGCGCGCGCAACACAACAATGATCGCCAAGAAAATACATATATTCTCCAAGACGTCACGTACTTCAGTCCCAACGGTCTAAAAACTCCTACTACGCTTAAACATAGAGGCCTTGTCCCAGCCGACATCATTTCCGAACGACCTGCGTCCGCAAATTTGCAATTGCCACACGGATGATAGCAAGACGAATTTCATCATCCCTCTCAAAGAACTCAAAAGGGGCCACATAGTGGCGCTGATTACCTCGGTTGACAGCGATCGCCTTGAATATCTGCATCATACCTCGCTTGGTACGGATTTGCTTGCGGATATTCTCGCTGGAAGCTGACCGGTCAGATAGACGATGCTGAACGTACTGCAGGAGGAGTGCTGCAATGCCAGCCATGATGGGCGTGGCAGCAGAGCAGCCCGAACAGGGCTTGGTTTCATCCACGGCATGACCCGGAATATCATGTCCTAATGTGCCGTAAAGCCGACCCTCGTCGTCGACCGGAGGAGGGTCGAATTCGTCCACAAACCCGCCGGCACTGTTGGTAGCCCGTACTGAAATGACAGACTCCATGCTGGCTGGGAACATTTCGTGTCTGTTGGAGCCGTCATTCGCTGCGGCTGCGAAGAAGAGAAGATTGCCCTTCTTGATACGGATCGCTTCGGAGATGGCATCTCTTATGATTTCATCTTCGTTTGGGAATCCTAGTGATAAGCTTATGATGTCGACGTTCAGTGTTGTTGCTGCATGAAGAATAGCCTGATGTTATTGTCAGGAAATATGCAAAAATATGGAGAGACTAATGGGAGATCACCTTTGCCACCACTACCTGAGACGTTTCTAGATCCTGGCGTCTCTTAATCACACGCACTGTGAATATCTCCGCCTTCTGGGTCATCTTCATTAAAAGGCTGGTCATCGCGGTGCCATGCCCGTCAACATCGACCGGAGTACGCGAGTTCTCGACCCAGTCAACCCAGTGGCCGGACAGACGCTTCTCCTCATGAGTGTACATATCGAGATAACTCGAATCAAGGCTGTATCCGGTATCAAATACGGCGATCCTCACGGGGTGAGCGTCATGATCCCGCATGGATAGAGGATGAAGCATGCGATTAATCCGTTCAACCTGCGCCAGCCAGAACTTTGGTGTCCACCTGTCCATGTTAGCATATGACGAAGGGGCATCAGGGTAGGCTTTTGGCTTACTTCGATAGGGCACGAGGTGGATCTAAAAGCGTTCTCGGGACAGGGGCAACACGCCCACTTGTCTTGTATCCCTCTCCAGCCATTAATACGCTGGCTGATGGGTGCAACGTGCCTTCATCTAGCACCACCGGGTAAGAAGGAACATCTTGCCGAGGCTCGCAGCGCTGGATGAGCTGTGTGAGAGCATTTATTGCTAAGTTGGTCTGTGAAAACACCTTCAGGCTCTTATCTAATTCGTACTGAAGCCTTTCCCCGTCTTCCTTGGACAGTGTATCGCGAGAAGCAATCATCTCAAGGGTACTGCAGTCATTTTTCTGACTCCCCCAACTACCTGAGAGCTTTATTACAAGGGAAATTAGCTATGGCTTTGTTCACAGAATCAGGTCACGTACCGAGCAAGCTTTTTCCAACAGTCTCACCACATCATGCAGATTTGCTGAAAGCGAAGCACTTGAAGTTGGGGTGACTCCGGATGTCGAATTTGCGAGAAGAAACAGTTGAGTCCCCAGTTGACCGAGTTGAGGATTCCTGCTATCACATCCCGACTTGATGAGCTGGCTTCCTATCCAAGGGAATGCCCTAGAAGCCAAAACAGAGTCTTTGAGATCAGCCATCGTGGCTTATGGGTCTGGTCGTGATTGATGTTCTGAGAGATGATTGTCCTCACAAGTGACGGAGGATGTTTCGTTATTTATGTCCCTCTCAAACCCTTGCTTGATTGATGGCGCGAAGATTGTCATAGTAGTCGCGTGTTCAGCTCAGCTCTATTTGTGGAGACTCTTCTCATGAGACTCCATAGATTCGCCCACGTTGAAGTGCTAGCAACTGCCAGCGGTTATTCTTGATAAGTACAATGACATTTATAGAACCGGAGATTGTCTCATGTATTTGAGCCAGATTCCCAGAGACTGATATTATTGGGTCATGGTCATAGCGACCCCTTTGATAAGCGCCCACGTCAAATCCGCATGGTGTAAAACCAAAGTAGACCGGCTACGATAGTGCACTTCAAGCGCGTAGAATGTCTTGCTGCGCGGGACGCCCACATAACATCGCAGCCAATGGACACTCAATAATGTATGCACATGAAGATGTGTAACGACAACCCCTGATCATTCATGATAATCCTTAAGTCTGTAGCATCGACAGAACCTCTGTAAGCGCTGTAGATACCGAAGTGGGGAAAATTTCATGCGCCTGCACGATATACCCCAAAATAGAGCAAGCGCTTAGATGAAACTTCTGGGAAAACGGGTTTATATCCCCCATAAATGGCCACAAGACCATTGTTTGTCTTTGCAGAACTGCATTAGTTTAAGCGCTATCTATTTACGTATCCGCCCAAAAAAAATGGTGGAATGAACGGGAAAAAACACACGTCCCCTTTCAGCATTTGACAGACTGATAAATCTCCAAGGGGTCGAATCCCACCCTCTGCTGCAAAAGATTCAAAATCGGCTTAAATAACACCCTCCCCTCATACTCCTCCATCTTCCCCAGACGCTCCGCTTCCCGCTGCCTCTCAATAGTCACCTTCATTTCATCCCAAGTGACCCACTCCCAGCGAACACATTTCTCAGGCTCCATGACCTTCAAAACAAAACGTCAGTATTCAATCGCTCCTCGAATAACACCACCAGAAGGTGACTCCAGAAAACAAAACAAAAGAGGAAAATAAACAAACGTACCACCGGCTCCGCATCCTCATCCACAAGCCTACAGCCCACAAAAATCGTGACATAATGCTTTCCTCCTTCCATATTGGCATTGTTGATCGCCGTAAGGAAGCGTATATCAGTTACTTCGAGGCCCGTTTCCTCTAGAACCTCTCGAGCTGCACAGTCTTCAAAGCTCTCGTTGAATTCGAGGTGGCCGCCCGGATGACCCCATGTTCCTTGAGACAAATTAGAGCGATGTCTCAAGTAGACAGTATTACTGGAGCAAATCAATGGTTGAAAGTTAAATCTTACCGGCGCCGAGACTCCCCTTGCGTCGGCCGAGAATGGTCTGGCCATGTTTGTTGAAGACGTAGACGGCCACAGCGACGCGAATTGTTTGGTCCATGGTAGTGCTTTTTGTGACGAATGTCTGGGTAGTGTACAATCGATCGATAATTACGTCGTTGTTACAGAGAGTGTCCTGCTTTTTGGTTTGAGAAATCTGATTTTACATCCGGTAAGAAAAGAAGTCCGTGGGACAGTTTTGGATGCGGGCGGTGACTGGCGATAACGATTGCGGATAGACTCGTTTCGCCAAGAAAGGTTACCTTTGATTGATAAGATGCGCGATATTGGGTTTATGTGTCGATCCATGGTAATTATAGCCATTTACCACAACTGTGCAACCGGAAACTACTAATCAAACTAAATTTGCTATTGCGGTCACAGACGAAATTATGCACATCGATTGCTCCGGTTCTTCCCCCCTCTTTAATGCACACTGCACTAGCCTGAGGGGTCACGGGTTTCCTCAAAAGAAGCCTTGCCATCAAATCATAGTCTTGTATGATGTACATCGCGCAATTCAAAGTATGTGTCAAAATAGTGTATCAGGTTTTGAAGAACCACATTGAAACGAGCAGAAAGATTTACCAAACGCAGACCTGAATACCAAGGAATCGCGAGGACTTCCACTTCTACCCGAGTCTATTCGCTTCTTCTACTCACCCTCTCCCTCCGAAGGTAAGCCCGCAGGTAATAGAACCCCATACCGATAATCCAGACCGAAATAAGGATTACCGCTTGCAGAGGTGCGAAGACGGCTCCCCTCACCACCACAAAGCCACTGACGAGGGCGAAAATCAGCGGAATAGCGATGAAGGGCTTGTAAGGCCGATGAAGATCAGGCTGCCGGAATCGCAGAAGAATGGCACCCAAGACGGTCAAAAAGAAGAACGAGTATTCTCCAAGACCATTGAAGGTGAGTAGCGCGCGAAAGTTTCCGAACAGGAGGTACGGGATTGGCAGCAGGGTGGCCAGAATTGCGGCATTGATGGGCGCGTCCGATCGAGGAGCTGACTGAGAAGGTGGCTCCGGGTCAGGAGGCATTCCTACGTGTCCAAGCACACCCAGGAACCGAGGGAACCAATCCAGCTTCGATGCCGCGACAATCATGCGACCGGCCACAAAGGAGTTTCCGAGCAGGGAGCCGGCGACCACGAGGCAGATCACTATGGCAGCGAGGATACCAAACGCTGGTCCTAGGAGGTGGGTTATTGCGGTCTGCATGTCATTAGCGTATGTAATCAATGGGAGAGTGGTGGACATACGACGGCCACGCTGTCAGTGGTCGAAACGATCTTCCATGGAAGAAGAATGTAGTACGCGGCATTAGCGGCAAGGAAGCAGAGGATTATGATGGGAAGGGCAGTGTTTATAGCCAAGGGAAGCTGACGAGCAGGAGCGGAGAGCTCTGCGCTAACGTAGATTGCCTGTCAGAAAATGGTGAGTGTTTTCACAGACACTTTGTAGAGGCTATATGCCTACCTTATCCCAGCCCGAATAAGCCCACAGAGCACCATAGAGCGCGGTAGAATAGTAACCTAGCGATTCCCACCCGTGCATGGAGCTCCAGTCGATCTCCCGACCGTCCGGAGTCCAGGTGTTCCTAGATCCAAACCAAGAGTGCTTGAGCCAGTCATTTGACCCAGCATCGCGGTTGATTCCGGAGACTTGCAGGATGACGACGACTAGACCAGCCACCACAATTGCGGCAATGGCGATGAATTTGGTCGTGACTGAAAACCCATTCAATCGGGTGCTGACCTTGGTACTGATGGAGTTGGCCAGACCGATCACCAACAATACAAGAATGGAGAGCAGTTTATGCGAAAGGCTTCCAGCCTGATCGGTGACACCAGCCGCGGAGAAGATGCTTTCAATAAACACGATGCTCAAAATGGCCAGCGTTGCAGGCATCACGGCGATGATCCAAGTCCAAGCAGCAAGAAATCCAAAGACATCTCCGTAGATGTATCGAAGATATGGTTGCACGCCTCCTATTTTACAGTCAATTCAGTCGATATACCTGATGGCAATAGAGTGAACCAACCTTCGCCCGGAATAGCAGTGCCTAGCTCGGCCATAGTGCTGGCACCGGTCCAGGCCAGAATGCCTCCGACCAGCCACACGATAAGCGCGACTCCGGGGGATGGAACATTTGTGTCGATGGAACCTGGAGAAGTGAAGATACCACTACCGATCACAATGCTGATGACGATGCCGAAGGCCTCGATGGCTCCGAGATTGCGGGTGAACTTTGGGCCCAATGCGGAAGTGGACTCCGCTCCGGGTTCAGTGCCATCGGTCCCTCTGGAGTCGGCCAGGAGCGGGCGGCGAACACCCTCCTCTTCCGACTGATCGTGCGGAGACATAGAGGGCAATTGATGACAGTTGTTCAGGTTAATGAGTGGACGTTAATGACACTGAAGGGATGGGAAAGAGGGGAAGAGACCGGCAGGATCAAAGCGAATCACGCCATCGGCTGGCGCGAACGTTTCATGCACGTCTGGCTTGATCACTTGCAGGGAGAAGAAGAAGCTACCTCTCTCAGGGCGGTGACTCCGATAACATTGGGGCATTCACAACATTCCCACGTGACTTTTCCTCATCTGCCTCTGAAAATGCACTTTGTCGCAAGAAATATATGAAAAACACTCAAAAGGTATAGCACTGGCTGTGTGTATTTGCTTTGCAAGCAATCCACTAGGTGTCATACCCACTCTTTCGGGAGGGACCATTAGCGTGCGGACCGCTCAATCACCCATACTAAGAGTTTGCAACAACAAGGAGGGAGGGAGTAGAAGACTCAGCATAAAATATGTAAAATACTAATTTCCTAACCATTATCATTGCCGCAAAAATTGTTCAAATACAACTACTCGCACCATACTCCTGAATTAGAAAACTACAAAGGTACCAAAATTGTCCTGCCTAACGCGAGCATAGTATCCTAGCCCTGTCATACACTTCAGTTTCTCATCTGTAAATTTAAATTAATTTGTGACTATAAGAGCACGCCAGTGCATGCAATACATTGTTAAAAGGTTAGAGAGTGTGCACAATGCCACTCATAGCACAATTCACGCAAGCATACAAAGCAAAAAGTGATGAACACTCGCTTAGGATTCTAGCGTGAATACATTCACTTCACGCCAAATTATACACGATGAAAAGCAACGCTAATCATCTCAGCATGATCTCTCATCCAATACCTACTGCACGTATCGCAAGCTGTCAATCATGCAGACCGATCAGCCACCCGAGATGCCACCCAACCCGAAGGATGAATCCCGCACCTTAAGAAACATCAGAAAGATCATGGAGAAGCTAGAAGGTCGAAACGTCCTCAACTTCATATCCCCTTCTTTTTGCGATACAAACAACATAGTTCTGCTGCCCCTGGATCTCGAGGCCAAACACCATGGAAAGGGTAAATCTTCAACTACTCCTCTCCTCTTCGAACCTCTTCCAATCGAAGCTTTGCACACCTATCCCATCGACCCTCACCCCTACACTACGATAGACAAGCGTGAAGACTCCTGCTTCACTATTAAAGACTACGCAACTATCAAGAAAGACTCGTGCGAGTCATATCCGCCCTTCCGCTTGAAAGAGATTGCCATGAAGCTAGAAAGATGGATCCATCTCGCTCCACGAACTCATCGCTATTATGCCGCGCCCGCTACTTTGACGCATATTGGGATCTGGTATCCGTCCATGTGAGTAAATTGTATCAACCCAATAATACATTCAAACAATCCCATGGCTCTAATGTGTTGATGAATGCACCAGCACAACCGACAAATTGTACGCCCGGACATCCAACATTTATGACAAGCTTGGACAATATCTGTACACTGTGAATCGCTTTTTCGAATGTATAGATGATAGGTACCCATATATCGTCATGATCACTCAACATTGGTGCCAAGAGCGATGTCCTGAGAACTCTATGATGCGATTTGAGCTTCTGGGTATACTTCAGACGATGCGCACCCGTCTGGAGCAGGATGAAATAGATTCGGAAGGGATGGTGCCTGTATGTTTCTACATCCCCTGCAATAAATGTTAGAGTTACCGATCACTGACACCCAAAAATAGGTCCTCATGGTCTCGTTTACGATACCCTCGCATGCCCGGATTCTGCAGGCGCATATGCACAATGGGAAGTTGGTTGTGGCGCACAGCCGCATCTATAGCTTCGAAACTATGCGTGAGGCGCCGATGGATCTGTTCACAAGATGGTTGCTTTCAACTCCTGTTGGGTTTTTTAAGGAAACTGAAACGGACGACCAATACCCTTGAATTGAATTGATGGATATGAAGGACAAGTGGAAGGCGATGGTGGTCCATAGGAGAAGTTGTAAGGGAACCGAGGAAGCCTATCTCGCAGAGAGATTCGGGATTATTCGCTTGGAAGATCGGTCTTTCAGATTAGCTTGATGGGTTAGACACGGAGTATTCAAGCTTAATCAATAATATTGAAATTTTAGCCGGTCTGAGTAAGTCTTTTTCTGGTACAGGTCAACCTTGCTCCATGGAAATAGAATTATGTGATAGAGAAGAAAGTTCAATTCCGGAGGAATGTGCACACAAAGAACCGATAGAGAGTCGGAGGCAAAAGGTTCAGGATCACAAATCTAACTGGGGCATATCGAGAATTGCAAGGACAGCAAGACCGATAGTCGATTTTGAACACATGGTTGCCAGTCGTGTTCCCGGAGTGTCTGAATTCGGTCATTTATATCAACTAACATAATAAACCAGGCAGAAACAAGTAAATTTTGGTATTAGGGTGGCCAAGAGCAATTATGTGGTTATTTAAATTTTCGACGACCTCAAGCATCCGCGAGGAGGTTTCCGTTCATAAACTTTAAGCCCGTATCCACGGCGACGGTAACCACCGTCTTGCCCGGACCCAGTTCTTTGGCAAGAGCAATGGCCGGACAACATTAAGACTAGTCGAGGTTCAAACCAGTAAACCTTCCTCACGAGCCAGCCGCCTGCACATAGCACGACCTTCTGCCTCTGAGATTCCTCGTGCTTCATCATAAAGCTTAGAATCCAGATGTGGCGGCACAAAACCAATTCCTATTTCCTCGACGCTATGAGATCCAGTGCGCCCTTCAGTAATGACAGGAGAAGAGGCCGGTTCGATAACTACAACTCTTGTATCCGGCCACTTTGACTTCAAAACGCGTGATACTCCCATAACCATGCCGGCACCTCCAATCGTACCGCAGAAGGCATCAATATCACCGGGGAACTGCGCTGCCAATTCCTCCCCAAGAGTTTCGTAACCAGGCAGGGCATCACCATTATTGAACTGATCAGCAAAGTAATGGCCATCTTCTTGTGCGATCTCTCGCGCACGGCGCACCATGGAAGGAATAAGATCCGCCGTGATGGTTCTAGTCTCGCTATGAACAATGTCAAGGGTGGCGCCAAGTGCGCTCATAGTTCGCAGCTTCTCAACTGCAAAGGCATTAGATGAAACCACTCTAAACCGGTAACCTTTCACCGAACAGATGAAGGCAAGAGAAGAGCCAGTGCTGCCACCAGTAGCTTCGACGACTGTCACACCAGGCTTTAGCGTGCCACGGCGCTCGGCTTCTTCAATGATAGATCTGGCCATGCGATCTTTGTACGAGCCTGTCGGATTGAGGGATTCAAGTTCAGGTAGACATTTGCGTGATCTGCTGGGACGACATTGCGGAGGCGAACACCTGGAGTGTTCCCAATTGCGTCCAGTCCTGAGTCCACGGGAGGAGGCGGAGAAGGCATGATTCTGTGCTATGAGGTTTTTGCGCGAGCTCACAAGTTCAGGTCCAAACAGAACGAAGGAACTTTCAGAAACACTCATCCTGATATCTGTGCAGCTCTTTCAGGGTCTACTTATGGCGCGATTACTAACTGGCTTTTCATTAGTGATGAAGCTTGGTTTGGCGGGGCTGTTGTCGATGTGAGTCAATAAGAATGAACATCCGGTTCCGAACGAATCTTCTTTCTCCGCGGATCAAGGCATATGTCTTCAAGAGATGTTCAGGCGATATCTTATGAAGGTAACCTCAAGACGTAGAAGTGGTATGTCCTTGGGGACTAGCTAGTGGCCACTTGCCGAAAGTAACGCGGAAGCAATGGTGTCGGAGATAAGAAGGATAGATTTCAAACAAATCCCTTCCTGACTGGGCTACATATGAGGCCAACATTGTGCTTTCTTTATCCCATAGTCGAAGATCGATAAATCAATCTAACGTCTACCCCTTGTAACACTTGAGTTAAGTTCTGTTCACAGGAAAGTTTCTCAGCTAGGGGTGTTTGCATTGTTTGCAGGTAGGAAAATGCCAACGCTTGGCAAAGTCTTAGTGTGGCTTGGCAATGGCGCCCGATCCCGCTGAGTCATCCAGACCCGGGCCGGCTCATGCCGAAATCGGAAGGCCAGGCCGAATCATCTCGACCGCGTGCATCTGAATCGGATATCAGCCACAACAACAATTCAGCGAGACTTCCCCAGGCCACTGATCAACCCATAACGGTCATTATGACTCAATGAAGCGAGCCACGACTCTCTCAGCGCTGTGGCTGAGGCCATGATTTTCGTATGCCCCCGCTTGGCGCCTCCTCTTGAGGGCACTAGCCAGCCCTGTGCTGAGCAGGAGTGGGTCGAAGTACGTACGCTTTTTCATCCACTTGTGGCAACCAAGCTCACCGTGACCATAGGGCTTTGTAGTGGACATTTGTCCAGACTTCACAAGTCCTCTAACGCGTCTTGCGTGACTCGCTTCACAATGTAGTCAACGCGTACGGCCATGTCATCAAAGTTTCATGATGCCCATCATCTCTAGATCGGGATCTTCCACATTGCCCCCTTACGGGGCGACGACGAGATCTGAGCCATGCTGCTCCTGGCTTAACCCATGGTACTATAGCATCGCAAGCGAATAGGGCGATACCTCGAAGGTTCACTAGCGTCATAGTCCGATTAGCTCGGCGATAAATCCACATCGGCCATAGGCAACATCGTTTCCTTCGAAGGCTATGTCGTCAGATGCAATATCCAAACTGGGGAGAGGACCCCTCAATGAGCGTCATTTGCACCCAAAATTATCTCTTATCCCTCTTCGCTGGCTCGCAGACCCTATGTGGTCTCCACATCCCTAATGGCGCCTCCCAGGGGACCACGAGTATAAGATCCCCCACGATCTCTCGTTGACCCCTCACTCATTCTTAACAACATCTACCAGCCACACATTCTTATCAAACAAACACTTCAAACCTTTCTTCCTACAAACAATCAACATGGGTCTTTTCCACCACCACCACGAGAACCAGCACGGCCCTGGTGGCCATGAAGGCCCCCACGGCGGTCCTCAGGGCGGTCCTGGAGGTCCTGGAGGTCCTGGCGGCCCTCACGGCGGTGGCCCTGGTGGTCCTCATGGCGGTCCCGGCGGTCCTGGTGGCCCTGGAGGATTCGGTGGTCCTCATGAAGGTCCTGGTGGCCACGGAGGCCCTCACGGCGGCGGTCCCGGCGGTCCTGGTGGTCCTCACGGCGGTCCTGGCGGCCCCGGTGGCCCTCACGGAGGTCCCGGCCGTTTCTAAAGCCCTGACGGACTACAACTCGAGGTATGCGATGATGCTCTGTGGTCTCATTCTTGAAAGGATTTAGCTGACTGTTAGCGAATAGTTCCAGAGATGATCGATTCGTGCAACCATTCGAGCGAAGTGACTATATTCCATTGAGTCATGTTGGATATGATTGAAATTTTTGTGTATATACCATGGTCGTGATATCATAATGATACGTACTCATTATTGAGAAGTGAGCAATTCTGGTGTGGTTATGGACGTAAATGAGGGGGAGGATGCCGTATGCACGTAGCATTGAGACCTGCGACACATGCTGTGTATATCACATGTCATCAAATGAAGACGGATGTCAAGTTCAGGGACACAAGAGCATGCATGGTAAAGAACCAGTGACCGCTGTGGTTGTTTGTGCTATTCCGCCTGCAACAATTAAACAGTACCACAGCAAGTAAGCAATGCCTCTATCTAGCTAGCAGAGTTCATATACTTCGTATGATAAAGGAACATTCTGAAAAATGCTAATAACCTATCCTACACGACTCAACACCATCTCCTCATAATCCAACACATGCAACCCCCCCTCAATTCTCCTCACCTTCCTAAAATCCAACTTCGGCTTCATAACATCATTAACATTCGACACCACCACCCTTCCCCCATCCAGCAAAGTCCCCAAAATGAACATAGTACTGTAAACTAACCCCTGGAAACTCGCTCCCTCAAACGTCTTCTGCTCCCTTGGGCCATCATACTTATACTGGATATCCGACCCCTTCGAGGGTAACCTTGCGCCCTTCCAGTTCCCGAAAAGCGAGGGATGCGACGAAATACACCTCAAGTAACCGGTCTCGCACAATCTCCCCAACATGACATCATACACGACACTCTGACCAGGCGGCATGCTCTCGTCATCGGGTAAAACAGACAACGCTGCGAGTATCTTCTGTGCTGCGTTGAACGATACCGCATATGCACTGGAGCAGACTGCCAGTGAGGTTTTGCAGATAATGCGGTTATGTTTGATGTTGTCGACAAGTTCGTGGACAGCTGGGCCGGCCCAGTATTGCGGGAGGCCGTAGACGGGGATCGATGTTGGGTCATTCTTTATTATGTAGAAAGGAGTTTTCTTTTGGCATTTTGTACCGCAGTGGCCGAGCCAGAGAATGTCCCAGTCGTCCCCGTAGGGCGTGGTCTTGGGGTGAGATTCGGCTTGGAGGGCTAGGGTTCCTAGCGCGAACTCTTGTAGTTGGTTCTTGAGAGTCACGTCCCAGTCGACATCGTCTTCAAGTATTAGGGCGCTGGTTATGCGTTCTGAGACGATGCTAAATAAAGTCAGTTTTGTATCTGAGTTCTGGTGGAGATGTGATTACCGTTGCATCGCGTTCAGGTGGGCTCGCCAGCTGCCGATTTCACCGGCTAACATGCGAGGTCTATCGGGTTCGTCGTACCGCTGAAGAGAGTCTTAGGGGATAGTATGAGACATAGTAGCCAAATGAATCTTACTGGTGGATAGGCCTTCGGGCTCATGTCTTCAGAGGATACGCCATCAATCCAGTCCACGCGGAACTGCGTGACTGATGAGCCTAGTGTAATCGCATCCCGTTTATCAGGTCGACTGGGGAGGTTGATACAGAAAATCCTTTCGAACTAACTCTCGTTAGAACTCGAACATACTGTATGTTTTGGAATGAGAGCTTACCCCTAACGTTTCATTTGTGATTGTTGCCAGACTCAATCCGTCTGCTGAACGCAGCCCCTGCAACCCAGCATACCGTTCACCAGAACTTATCAACAATGTACCCCACAACACGAGAAGAAAAACAAGCGATAACCCCGCATAGAGCAATTTTCTTTGCCGATTCCGTTTGAATACTTGGATTGAAGGGGAGCTGGGCAGGTTCAATTTCAGTGCGCCCATAGTGAGCCGTCTAAGGACATGGCCGGTAGAGAGGGAGGTAGAAGAAGAAGGCGACCCCCAAAATCGATAATTCCGACCGAGGCGTTCCTTTCATACTGTGATCGCCAAACTGTGACGCCTGCTAGATAGGTGGAGATGAACTGATAGCCGGAAGCCTATCGTGATGGACTTGCATAGCCGGCGCTAAATGGGGCGATTTCATTCGCCAAAACCAACCGCTAAGCATACATTACGCACCACAAGCATCGAATGATCACAGCCGGATGTTCCAAGCGGGGGAACATGCTCACACCATTGTGAGCCATTGAAGGAAATGGCGGGCAAAGAAAGAGGAGAACCGGAGTCAGCCTCGCATGCTTTTCACATGTCCCAGACTATGTCCACTACAGGTATGGCGACAGCCCATTTTATTGTTGGTATTTGATCCCCCTAGTTAATCCCCTTATTTAACTTTCTTACGCATATTGCTAAGTATCACGCATTGAAATCAAATTCATTACTGAGACTTGGGTGTTCATGTTCTGCCCTACAACAATCATGAAGCCTGTCACGTGCCAAGCCATGGTGCATCCACAGCGTCACGTGGCATATCGCGCACCTCGCTGGTCCAAGCTTCTTGCTCGGTTCCACCTCGAAGACCCTTAATCTTTTTCTCATATTCATAAAAACATCAATGAGCTCATGTCCTCGGGTCAGGCGGGGATACTGCGGGTTGCGCCGGTGCAGAGGCGACGAGGCCGTCCAACCCGGGCGTGCGATGTTTGCCATGTTAGGAAGGTGAGAGCACCCACCCTGGATCTAGACACATACAATCTAACCACAGAACTATTTAGATCGCCTGTGATCGGGCGACACCAAAGTGTGACTGGTGTGCCTGTCATGATCTACAATGTACCTTTTCCAGATCTAGCCCCGGGGGCTCTTCAAGGTGGGCAATACTAGTGCCAAAGTCGAATTAGACTAACCCTGTTGTCTTCGCCAGTATAAAGCAACAAGGTAGCAGACCTAAATGTATGTATTGCCCTTGATAAAGTTCTTCTTTCCTTGCTGAGTAATATCATCTGAATGAGACCTCGCAAGCGCGAATCCTACAATCACGGCGTGGACTCCGGCCGTTGGCTACAATGACCCGTTTGCGGGCCGCCACTGGGGGAATGTATGCACGTTCGATGGCACGCCCATCTTCTCAGCAAGCGGCTTGCAATGGATAACCGCATGTACCGGAAGAGAGCTTACAGTCGCTCACTATCCAATATCCGAGGCTCCCAGGTGGCTAGACTCTGCTGATCCACCGTCTCCACTGCCTGACCAGAACCACTTATACGTAGAGATTCAGAAGTATCAAGCTTCTAAATTTGGCCTTTTCTTCCCTATCCTTGACCCCTCTCTGGTAACTCACACTATTCAAGCAGCATATTATGGACAGCTATCAACAGGATCGCCTTGTTTGACCTGCGCCAGGGCCGCAATTTTTGCTTTCTACTCGCTTGCGCTATCTGTGGTGCATGGGGACGAGGAGGGTGCGCTGGAGTCAAGCGTTAGATATGCTCGTGAGGCATATCGCCTTGTGCCAGAAGTCATCAAGGGAGCTGCAACACTGGATGGGCTGCAAGCTGTTCTTATGCTTGTGAGTCAGCCTTCTTAAAATGATGTCCAACGGAGATTAACTCTATCCCCCCAGTCTTTGTGTTGCCAGGGGCTTGCGGCAGACTTTTCAACCATCGATCACCTACTC